TCCTACTACTCCTACTACTCCTACTACTCCTACTACTCCTACTACTCCTACTCCGCCTACTACTCCTACTACCCCACGAGAATAAGAAAACGCTAGAGGTGTTTATCAGTTTGAATGCACTAGGTTCCAACTCGTTTAGAGGACATCCATAGCCATACCAGTAGTCGGAGAAGTTCCCATCTGAACCCTGAACCTTGAATCGCGAGACGGCTTTCCCTGGTGTTGTTCCTCTATCTCTCAGGGAGTTGGTGGGTGCCCACTACTACTAGCACTACTGCTACTACTTGCCCACTATATTGCGTTCATTCTCTCGTTAGTCAGTCGGAGGCCGTATTCTCGGATCCCCTCGAAGACTGGGGATTTTCCTTCATCGCGGACCCGGATCGCGATATCGCCGCCTCACTCAGTTTCCTCGATCCGTCGACGGAAATGGTAGAAGCTTCGCTTGCTTGTATCGGCTTGTATGAACTTGTCTGATTTTCATTTTCTTTCTTTCTAGTTAGGGCCTCACTGGAGTTTATCTGCTAGCATGAAGGATCGCGTCTTGCGTTGGTGTTTGCCGTTTCTCTGTGGATTTCACTAACATACCGTGACTGAATTAGACCACAGTAGTCACTTATACCTCATGAAGAATGGACACGCTATTACTACTACTAGCGTCCGCGCCTTCAAATCAGGACTCCGGCTACTTGCCTACCGCTACTCGTGGAATGTACGTGCTGGATGATCGTGGCGTGTGCAAGGCCATAGTCTGTTATCCCATAGTTAAGAGTCGTCGGGTTTCATTGTTCAAGCCATAGGATTAGGATGTAGGAGGGCTACCAGACATGCGATGGAAAATCACAACTATAGATCGTCTACTTGGTAGTTGTATAGAGCGCCTTCTTGAAGTGTGACGATGACACAAGTGGCATCTTGAGTGGGAAGCCCAGCGCTAAGATATTTCAAGGGGTTACTTGGGTTATATCATACGTGTGGGGAATGAAGGGAACCATTCAAGGCTGGACAATGGAATATAACTAGCGCTAAAATACGGACTGGGCGTTGCGTTGATGAGATCCTGCGCCTCGTGGATTCGCTGCAGATTTCGACCAATTGCCCATTTATCCTATGCTCAGAAGCACCACAAAGCACTTGGTTTCTAGTCGTTGTAAACAAACTACATTTTCTGGTCTTGATAGGTCACGCGTCAGACTTGGTGCCCACGATCGTCACGAAAGGCGATATCGGGAGCGAGCACATGACATAGATCACATGGGATGACGCTAATGGAAGGGATGTGCTAGCATCTTTCATATCATGCGGTAGGTTATTTTAGAAGCGCACAAAGTACACTAGCCGGCTAATTTCCCTCGTTGTTTCGGATATCCTTAGGTCAGTCCCTATCCGCGATATTTTCGTAGTTCAGAGGGTCTAGTTTCTTTGAGAGATATAGCTTTGGAACCGGTACGAGAGTACTATTCATATCTGGGAACGCCTGCTGATTGGAAGTGGGGAGAGCGGGTTGTGCTCATGCCTGGCGTGTCACAAGATATCGCAGAGGAGGATCTCGGTTTTATGAATGTTGAGATGGCTACTGTCGCGGTCAATGATGCTAATCTTGGTCCGAAAGCCCCTGTGGAGGTACTAACTGCTTATAAAATCAATCTTCGATATCTTGCAGTTTTCGTTGAGTTTTTTTCTGGATGGTGAATCAAGTCTAAGTAGGAAGATAGAGGCGAGAAGCTTGTTTTCGTTACCAAATGTACAATAAAAGCAGGGCTGCTACTACGGTCCACCTGATCATCAGCGGAAGTGGGTTCACGATTAAGCACCTAACTGTGACAGACAATGCGTCAGCTCGTCCTAGGCAAGTTCATTCAACTCGATCAGATCAATGGCCATTATTTGACCAAACTCAACAGGAGGCCGCAAGCCAAAAAGAGAAAGAGGCCGCCCTGGACAACCTGAAGGGTGTGACTTTGCCGTACCTGATCTTTCTCGATCAGCCAGACAATTAAGGCTTCTGCTCACGATTTTTCATTCATTCCCACGGCTTGATGATGATGAATGATGACGCAAGTCCACCGATGAGGTGGGGCGCGTCATCTTTCGTCTCTTCGCAGGTCCAAGTACATGCTGTACCGGGCGACTACTAGGAGTTCTCTACTTCAACAGATATTTATATTACTTATACCCTACATATACATTTCCTCCTTAGGGATTGGAAAGATGAACGGGAAGGATGAATTATTGATGTGAGCTCTAAAACCATCTACCGCGATCCCTGCTCTCCACGCGCAGCAATTATGAAACAAAGAGGTTGATTATCCTAAACAGGAGGGACGCGGCTTCTCAGACTGCGTGGTCGTGTTTGATTTTATACCTCATAAATGCGGCCGTCTACGTCTACTATGATGTCTCGTAGATGACAGGGGCGCAGCCATGACGTGTCATACCTCCTTCTCCTATCCTGTTGTGTTATATTATCCTCCTGTGCCGTTCTTGTATCCTCCTGTTGTGCTATGTATCCCAATCATTCTCCTATGCCGTTGCCCGCCTCTTTCATACCCGGACCATGGAATTGGCTCAGCCAGGGGAATCGCCAACAACGCGTTCGTTCCGATCTGCAATTAACAATTTGTTGACAGCCAAGTCTTTGCGGCAACTAGGGCGCCAGTAATTATTAGGTTTGCCGGGTGTGCAGAAGTGTGGATAATCAAGTAGTCAGCTTACAAACATGCAGCTTGGGAGATGCCGACGACTGGTCCTACTTCATCTTAGCGTAGAGACACGTGCACCACAACCACTTTTCAGATTCGCTTTTTTCATCATATTCCACCGTGTTGCTCGACTGCGGGCGCAATTTTTCTCCTCTTGATCACATATTATACAGTATGGCGTCATGTATGGTATCATACTCATAGAGAACGGAGCCAAGCATTAGTAGGAAATGTTCTCACGAGTTGTACCGACAAGATGAAGAGTTGTATGCCTTCAAGGGGCGACATCGGCGACACCTGCAATCAGTAGAACCATTCAGAATGAGAATCTTTGTCCCCTGGCGAACTTGGTCTGTGGCAGGACTTCCCAAGTTGTATACTTTCTTATTTAAATATTAATATCAAGAAAACTAGGCTTCGTGCAATCATTTGGAGGCTTGATCAGCTGTTGCTTCCTATCCGTCTATTTGCGTTTGTTCACTTGTGATCAAAGTAGTTGTTTAAGTGTAGCGCTCGAATAGGTTGCCACTTCCCAACTCAGTTCTGGACCTTTTCGATGGTAGTACTAGCTTAAGTAAAATCTTGCGTGAGGCAACATCGTGACGAAACACTACGACGCCCTGTGGCAGTTGTCCTGTCAGGGAGTAGACACTGACTTCGCTTTGAAATAATATGGCAGTCTGCACTACAAAAAAAAAAAGCGAGATTAACTTTGGAAGAAGCATCTTCTGTCATGAGAGAAACCTGGACTCAGAAGGAGTCTCTACCTACCAGGAGAGTCCTTTTGTTTTCAGGTGGTCCGCCGGTCGCCTTTAAGGAAACCGAATGGGATCACGCGAAGTCTTTTCTGTTGAGAGCAACGCGCGAGGGTCTTCGTTTTTCTTTGTTTAAAAACAATTTCAGAAGCGGTTTTTGAGTGGGAGCATTGACTGGCAGGCTTTTTAGCAGTGAGCGATAGGGGCTCGCCTTGAGATGAGTAGACTTATGCAACGTAATTGAAAGGGGGAGAGCGTCCCATCGCTCTTTCTCACCGATTTTTTATCTCCCGCCCGGTTGTGGCTATCAGGCATAAGGTAGCCCCTTTGGTCGGAGTCAGCCCTCCAATTTTTTGCTTTTTGTTTTTTCTCTCATTGGCTGCATAGCGGGAGGAGCCGGCCACAAGAAGAAAATGACGCATGAAGATGAAGGAAAACCTTAAGCAACTAGTAGAGTTTAGTGCTCCTTCACCAATTTCACTAACATGCATGTTCTTACTTAGTGAAAAACATTCCTCTAGTTCGCATCAGCAACCAGTTGCCGCGCAGCTCCACCTAGGGCCAAAAATATTTAAATTGATTAAGCGGACAGCGCTCCGCCGCCCAATCGTAGCATTCACAAAAAGCGCGTAATGGGGAGACGGGCAACGCCCCGGGTGGCAGGTACTAGGTGTGTCATTTTCCCTGCCTTTGCTCCTAGGCTTGACCATTTTGGAACCGTAGGGGCAGTAGCGTAGTTTGTTAAGGAGATTAAGAACTCCCCCCTACGCCGGTAGCTACGCGGAAAATATGTAGGCAGGTTTTGACTTATCGGAACTCACTTGCAATATACGCAGGTAGGTTGTGATTTATCGGAACTCGCTCACGATACAAAAAAAAAAAATGAGACTATTTGTATTGTATTGTATCTTCTAGGAATTTTTCTCATATCTACTTATCAGAGAACTTGGCGTCAGTTCTCGAGTTACACTTTGGTAATGTTTTTCAATACGGCACGAAAGTTACAGAATCAAGGCAATAGCTTGTATTCCAGAATCAAGATTCTTGTAGCAGTTTTGCTGCATCACGTTGATCGTTTGAACAAGACAGAGGCTCTTTTACATATTTTACTATAACTAATAATATTCTCTTAGTCTTACCACCCGTTGAGGTTATCTGGATTGCTATTCTTGTTGTACTTTTACGAATTTGAAGCCCCAGAGTTAAAAAAAGTCTATCTGTCGCGCATCTTTGGGAAAATCATACACATCATCTGTAGAAGCAGTTTCGATTATCGGGCTCCGATCAGCTAGAGGCATGCCTCATTGTCCTTTTTCTCCGTCACTGAAAGAAAAGAATAAGATCTAGTTTTGTTTTTATGTTTCAAGTTGTAGGAGCGGGAGTCACAGTCAGAGGAAGTCACGACTCTTCTGCGCTTGAAGGAACATTGATTGACGTCATCAGTTCGGACGAAGCTTTATTTTGTAGAATTTGTGGCGTGGCGTTCAAGAGTCAGGTAGTAATCCACTGGCAACATAAATTTGAATGCTTGTAGCACCAAAAATACTTTGCTGCGCTTTTCGAAGTGGACTGTGACGCCGAACAGATCTACCCTATATATAAATCTCGCGATGTCGGTGCACGTGGCGCTCTGACTTGATCGAAGCGAATGAGCTTGAACTTGAGTACTCCGGCCGTTAGACGCACTTTATGACAGCCTCAAGACAAGGAGCCAGCACTTTTTGCAGAAGTGTGCTACCATTCGCACACCGCTGCGTCTCCTTGGTTCCCATCCTTTTGTGTAGCTTTTGCGCCATTTTGAATTACTTGTGGATCGTCCTTAGCGACAGATGGTAAGGGCGCCGTGAGCGCGTCACGCGCGAGACGACAGGGTCGCACGCGAACATAATAATGATAATAATAATAATGATAATAATATAGATAACAGTCAATAAGTACAGCGGGTAACGGTAAATCGATAGGCATCAATATAGACAAGGAAGCCCCTATGGCATTCTGCGCGGATTTCTGTGCGAAGTTCGTTGTATATGTTGTAAGAGTCGCTGATGAAGCGGGCCTACGCGTCACTACTTGTGTGTGTGTGTGTGTGTGTGTGTGTGTGTGTGTGTGTGTGTGTGTGGCTGATGTGACGAAGAATGCTTCGCGTCCACTATCGGGGATACTCAGGAATTACATTCCATCCACAGTGCCATCCTTAGCTCTTTTTCCAGCTAGCAGAAGAGAAGCCATGGAAGATCTTCTGAGGGGAGTAATTCTGTACTCTCTAGAGATTTGAGAGGGCCGCCGACTCCTAATCCGCGATTAGAGGTTTTATTTGAAGCGTCACTGGGTACACCACTATTGCTACCACGAAGTAGCTTCGCCACCTATGCGCAGCGTATTACAAGTCGCCCGCCATGCCCTTAGGTTTTAGGAACAAGCGCGCTCGGTAGGTTTGTGGGCGGGCAAACCCCTCACGCGGGTGGATCGGTGTGCGGGTAGATAGACTCGTGGACGGGTGGGCTGTGTGTGGGCATGTGTGTGGCTCTGGTGGTGTGAGGCTGCGGCTATGTGAGGCTGCGGCTGTGTGTGGTTGTGTGTGGTTGTGTGTGGCTGTGGTTGTGTGTGGCTGTGGTTGTGTGTGGTTGTGTGTGGCTGTGGTTGTGTGTGGCTGTGGTTGTGTGTGGCTGTGGTTGTGTGTGGCTGTGGTTGTGTGTGGATGTGGTTGTGCGTGGCTGTGATTGTGTGTGGCTGTGGGTGTGTGCGGCTGTGTGTGTGCCGTGTGTGGCTGAGCCATAGAAGTCCTTTTCTGGAAATGCTGTTCCAGAAAACCTGTTCTGGGAAGGCTGTCCTGGAAGTCTTTTTCTGGAGAGGCAGCCACGAAGTTCTCTCTGGGTAGGGTCTAAAAACCTGTTCTGGAGAGGCTGGAAGGCTGCGCAAAAAGGCCGGGCTTGGAAAGGCTGCTTCAAAAATTGCGCCCTGGGGGGGCTGTCCCAGAAAACTTGATCTGGAAAGGGTTTTCCAGAAAACTTGTTCTGGAGAGGGTGTTCCAGAAAACCTGTGTTGACAAGGGTGCTCCAGAAGTCCTTTTCTAGCGCTGCTGTTCCAGGAAACCTGTTCTGGGAAGGCTGTCCCAGGGGTCGGGTCTTGTTCTGGGCATGCTGTGTCAGGACTTTATTTGTTCTGGGTAGGGTTCACAGTCTTTATCTCTCGGTCTTTATTTAGGATATTTTGAAGTGATTGCGTCTAGGAAGGAAGTGTCACATATTCGGTTTCGCTAGGATTTGAGTATGTAAGATGTCTTTGTCTATTGTCTAGTAAAAGTAGATAGTAATAGTAGAGTGAACAAGAAAAAGAGGAAAACAAAGGTACTATCTTGACCAGCTTAGCTTTAGAAAGGGGCTGTACTACTACCACTGGGAAGGAAATGGTGCGATAGCTAGAAAGTCTGTCCAATATAATGCAAGGCCATTTTTCTGATGATTGTTGGGGCTTTTTAGGAACGAGTCCAGTCTGTTAGCTTAGTATTCTCTTATTTAGTAAATAGAGTGTGTCAACATCAACAGATGACTAGACGAAGTGGCGCGATTCTGATGTCGTCGAGTCTCTCTGCATTGCAAAGTTGAAAGAAGAAAGAAATTGCAAAGAAAACAAGAAAGGCAGAGAGGGACCTCCTCCGTCTTGAACAAAGTAGGGTGGTGGGAACAAGGGACACGTGCTTGATGATTGAACAGTTGATTGATAGTAGTCTCAAACTGTCGGAGTAAAAAATGTGAGTATCGCTCTTGTGTTACAATCTTGAATCTACTACAGATGGATAATATTGCCAGAGTATAATCACAGAAAAGGGAGTATTGGCAGACACTGCCACGTCTAATTGTGTACTTGTATTGACGTCCTCATCCCCCAGAACGAAGAGTATAATCTTCCAGGACAGTAAAAGAAAAACTGCGTCATTGATGAAACCACACTGATGCCGACCAACAGCGTGAGCGTAAAGAGCACTCGCAGCATCATGTTGGCAGATGAAGATATTTGTCAGATTCTGACGGAAAAAGGCTTGTCAAGAAAAATCCGCAGTCGACCAGTGACAAAAAGAGAGAACGAAGAGGCCTGAGAAGTGAATGAGAAGAAGTGAAAGAAGTATGCCCATTGTTTCTATTGAGCACAAAGAAAATCGACACATTCGAGATTTGCAGAAAAAGTCTGTTAGAGGTTTGCAGAACAGGTCTGTTTTCAAAGCGAGAGCGTGCCGATTTTGTTGAGTTTTTGTAGTCACTTTTTTTCAGCTTTATTTCTTTGCTATCAATGAATGCGTAGGTCGCAAGCTGCTCCTTATAGAGTTATCAATCTCTTCAATTGAAAGTTGCAATTGAACGAAAAATTGATCCTGTGCATGGCTCCTGTACCACAGTGTCCTCCCTGTCTTGCCTGAAATGCCCACATTGAAGTGACATACTTTTTCATTGTGGCTTGGAATTGCTGCTGCTCATTTTTGCTATAAATATCTGCATCAATAGGACTCATATGCTTGTCTATAATTCAAATCTTCGATAGTATCAAGTGCCAATCTGGCATGCATATTTGTTGAACAAGGAACACCAAAAATTACAATATGTCGCGGGCAGTCCTCACGCGTGGACCAGTTCACGTTGGTGATGGGCAGAAAAAAGTGGTTTTTATTCGGCATGGCGAATCGCTCGCTAACGTGATCCGGAAAAAGTATAACAATTTGTCTCTTTTCATTTTGGATCATGTCAAGTCTCCTGTCATAACGTATTGTAGGTACACAATTTCAATTACTGCTTAGAGTTGGAGTTAGACTTGGTGGACTAAAGGTAGGCTGGTACTGGACCGATGATCATGCTCCATTTCTCGAATTCTCGATTCATCTGACTTTGTCAGATACGAGACGCACCCTGATCACGGCCCAGAGGAGTGGAAAGTTTTTACAAGCTTGCCGCTTGGAGATGTGCCTATTACAGATCGGGGTATCCAGCAGGCTGTAACTGTTGGCAAGCGACTCCGAAAAGAGTGCGGGGTGCGTTCGTATGCAGCAGAGACGTTGGTGAAGGGCGGGCCGCCTATCGATGCGACAGGAGTACTGCAGCAGCAGCAAACGCAGCTACAGAGAAGAATTTCATCGGCGGCAGCAGGAGTATCATCGTTGAGTACAACATCTAGCGAAGGGTCTGTCCTCTCGGAATCTTCGGGTAGCGACAGTGAGCAACAAAAGAATGTTCCACATCTGAGTAGTACAAGTAGAAGTTGTACTAGCAGTTCTTCCTGCGCTCCATATGAGATTTGGGTAAGCCCGATGAGACGCACTATCGAAACTGCGCAGTGCTTGTTTGGTGGAAGAGTGTGTGGACGACCGGAGAAGACACCCACTTCATTGGAGGTAGCGGAAGATGAACAAGATGTCCATGTTGTGGAAAAACAAGACCAAGTAGGCGAAGAGGCGTTGGGTTGTGTCGCGACCCAAGACGTTGTAGAACCTCGAGGACATCTATTATCTGGACCACGTATGTTAAGGGTAGTTTATCACTATCCCATTGGACTGTGCTGAGTGGAGTCCTCCTTGATTTAAAGTGGTAACTAAGGGGCAAAGAGGGCAACCGACTCAACTCGGGATAGCGGCGAACTACCTCTAAGTAAGGAATCGAAGATCCTCCGCTTCGACCGCATTTTGCCGGCTGCAAGAGAGTACTTCCCGCAGGATTTTGCAATTGGGGCGCCTTGTGCGGAGGTGTCGCGCTATCTTGGCTACACATGGCACGACTCAGAGTGGGAAACCAATTGGAATTCTTTACAGCACATAGAAGACCCGGATAGAATGGATATTTTGCATAAGGAGCTTGTCGAGACGACAGCAGAAACCGTTTTTGTCGTACAAACTACCTATAATTGTAGCTGTTCGTGGTCTAAAAGATAATGTTCATACTGGAAATCTACTACAGGCAACTAGAATTTTTATGCTATCTACTTGTACCTACCTACGAGTACTATTTCTATCTCGTGCTGGTGTCCTTTCGCATCGAGAATATGGATGGATTTGAATCCTAGACATGACTAGTAGAATTATCAAAATTTTCACTTTCTCAGGTCTGCCATTGGGGAACAATTCTCAATTACATACAACGTTTTTGCGACAACCTGGATCGGACAGAATCTCTCTCCACCTACAGCGATTATCTTTGTGGCGGGTGGAGAAAAATGAGCCATGTTGACCCAAAACATATGGATTTGGAGAATTGCGCAGTTCGAGTCGTGGAGTTTCACTAGCCTACTGACTTGAGGCTCTATAATGTTATAACTTTTATTTGGTGTGCAGCACAGTGCGACTGCTGGAGCAGAAAGACGGCATCAATGAAGACCCACCTCCTCCAGTACATAATAATGCCTTTCTGCGATTTTAGGGAAGGAAAGGAGCTTGGAACCCATTTGGATATTTTTTGTTTTTTACTGGTTATGGAGAAGTGCACGTTGAGCTTATAATCATGTTACCACACTCAAGAAGTCGGACCTTGTGAATGCATTGTCGACTACGAAATGGCGGTAGCAGTATCTAATACATATACGCTGATTTCAAAACCGACCACATCACTGAGGCGGGAGCCGCTGAAGCGCCCTTCATCTTGATGCCGATAACAAGTTTGTAAGAAAGTTAAGTATAATGCAATCACTCTCTGCAATTTTTATTTACTGCAACGGAAAATGTACTAATATGTAATTTGGGAGCATGTACTTCATTGCTAGTTTATCACGCATTCTACTTGCATTTTGGGCTGTAAATGATTGAAGGTCAAAAGGGTCGCGGGTCACAAGACTGCCCATCTTAGTAGTTACGCTGACTTGGATCCGCGAGCAACCCAAGAGCTTCTATTCGCAGCACTGCGTTTGATCAGAATCATGAACATCATCGCGCATGCTTTGTGAATCTTAAGTCCTGTGCCGGAAATGTATTCATTTCTAAGTTTCATACAAGGAAATATTAAAAGACCACCACAGGCATGGGTCGCTCCCAAGGATGTTCTGGGACTTTCTACCCTTCCTATATTTTCACTCGTAGAAGGCTCTTTTCAAGCGGCAAAATAGCTGAAACAAGAATGATCGGCCGTGCTTCATGCGAGGTGGCAATGGCATGTGGGCCCGCGGTCGGTATGTGTTCGAGATTTGATTGCACGCGTCGGTAGAGGTTTAGCAGCTTTCGAAGAACCAGGACTGGGGTTTCGCTATTCCCGTTACATATGGAAGCTAACGCGCCTGAGTAGGCACGGAGTGACAAGAACGTCTTTTCGCAACCAAGAATGTCTGTTTAACCGCTTTTTGCGTTAAGTATGTAAGTCCAGGTTGTGTTGATGTGCATGTGGATTGAATTTATTCAAAGCTCATCCGCTCAAGAATGGGAAAACTTTTTGTGCGTTCATTGCAGAGTAATACTCTGCTAAAGTGCCGATGCTGCGGTGTGCATGTGGCTAACCCTGAGCATGTTATCTCCAAAGATTTTCATGTACTACAATAAATGAAATCTTGATAGAAGTTCATTCTGGCATGGGCATTTTGCAGACAAGCTTTAGCGTTAGATGGAAGCCAAAATAGTCAAGTATTCGGCGTGAAACTACTTGTACAAAAACACCTACTACTTAGTTATTCTTGCTCAAAACAATCATCAGGGTACCTTGGGTCCGGCGTACCTCATCGCTTCAGTTATCAATTACACTAGCGGACCGGATGAAGAGCGGCTACTTATGTATGATATGATTGTCCTCCTGTGAGTTTTCATCCTTTCTTCTTCCGGACCAGTCTGGTCAACATCTACTTGAAGATGTAGAAAGCAGGTATTTTCTCTTTCCTGTTTTTGATTTGGCTTCTCTGCTTCTACGCTTATTTCCTCCGTCTCGTCTCTGCTAGACTTCATGCTTTCACCGGGAAGCACATCGTTTGCGATGTGTCCTGCGTTCGGTGCCAGTGCGTGTTGGGCTGGCGGTATCAAGCAGCACACGAACAAGCGCAGAAATACAAGGAAGGGAAGTTTATCCTCGAGTCGGCGCGAGTGGTGCAAGTCGACACCAGTGTGAGTGGTGGTAGTAAGGGTGCGGCTATTAAGGCTTAGCACAGTAATTCATTTTAGGAGGCATCTACATCTTTGACTCCTTTTCTAAGGGGAAAACGAAAAGGCGCCAAAGATGCCTCTGGAGATGAATATAATGAGGTAGACCTAGGAATATAAATAAGGTCTAAAGCGAGGTCTGGAGGAGCGCGGCGTGGAGTATCAGGAACGGCCGGCGGACTTCTTTTTGCCGATCACAGGCCAGGTGCCGACGGCTCTTCAGGAGAGCCACAAGAATCTTCTCGTAGTACAGAAAGAACTCCTGCTGGAGCAGGAAGTAGAGAGCACGAAGCAGGAGGACGCAGCAGCAACGTGCGGTCTCGAGGAGCAGAAGGGCCGCCTCCTTCGGACGCTCGTCGGGGGCCGCCGGTATGGGGTAATCGGTTAGAACCGACCACACACGACTATTTCAGTGGCTCGAGATCTTCCAGTCGGAGGGCACAGGATGCCAGTAACGCCACTTCAGCGTGGGGATCATCCTCTCGTTACAGCAGTACGAGGCCTGGCGGTAGGAATTACGAGGCTGACGAGGAAGACTCGTATCACTACAATCCTGGCATAATGTTAAGAATGAGAATCGTCCCTAAAAATGCAGTTCATTCTTTCGTAAGGTCGAGTACAATATAGGTGAACTAGTCGTGACCCGAGTATTAAGAAGAGAAGAAGAATACAGTAGAGTGGACGAGAGAGAGAAGACAACTGCTGGGGAAGGCAAGACACACCTATATGCCTGGAATCTCCCCACGAGAGGCCTCTGCTCCGGTTTTTCTACCCCCGTGTAATGAATATTAACGCGTCGCAGAATGTCCTGACTGCAAACGACCACGGGGTGGGAGTTCTGGGCGTGCCGCTGCGGAGCGGCTGTTCCCGCCGCGTCACCGGCTCGGGCTTGCGCAGACGGAAGGGCCGCGGACTTGCGGCGCCACGGTTTGAGGCCTTTAGATTCACAAATCGGGCACCGCGTGCGCGATTCCAGGCGCTAACGGCCGGCGCGGGCTGTGGGCCGCTTTCGGTTCGTCTGGGTGGCGGTGCAGTCTTTCAGCAGCGCACAGGCGCGCCGGCTTCCTGTCTCTTCGCCCCTTCACATGGCAACGCAGCCCGGGGAAACCCTGAGAACAGCGCGGCTCCCCTTAAGACCCTGAGAAAGCCAGGGCGTGGCCGTGCCACAGTATGGCCGTTGCGGAATGTAGACGCCTAGGGCTTAGCCGTGGCGTACCCTCAAGCTGTGGCCCGTGGAGTATACTCGCGCCACCCTTTGGGCCTTCCTGTACCTAGCCGATTCGCCTGAGATTTTGTGCAATTTCTCCGCTGTTGCGCCGACGTGGTTAAATATTTCACGCTACCGACCTTCTCTGCCTTTTGGGGCGCTCCCTTGCCGCTTTGTGAGTGGACTGCGCAACGAACCCTGAGAGGGGAAAACCTTGAGGCATGACGCGCAACCTTGACCGTTAGCCGTGAGATGCGAGGCATCTGCGTCCGCTTTTTTTGGGCGCCCACGAATTGCGGACAATTTGGAGCCTCCGCGTGTGCTAACTCGTGGGAACCCACGAACCCCGGGCAATTGATACGCCCAGCGCGTCGCTTTGAGAGTGATGAGGTCCACCCGTTAGCCGGGAGATGCGAGGCATCTTCTGCGTCCGCTTTTCGTGGGAACCCGTGAAAAGCGGACCGCGCTGCGCGTTATGCTTGTGGTCCTAACGGGCATGAGGATGCTCATGCTACCCGCGGGCCGCGAGGTATCTGCTGCTGCTGCTGGTGTTGTCTCTAGTGAAGGGAGTGGCTTGGACCGGCGTCCGCTTTTCGTGGGAACCCATGAGGAAATGGCTGCTGGTCGTGTTGTTCGTTATGCTCGTGGCCGTCGGGTCGTGGGGAAGACGTTCCCCACGGGGCGCGTCGTGTCTCTATGTCTAAGTCTATGCCTATCTGGCATCTGCTGGCGCCGTCAGCTCTAGCGGAGGGGAGCGCTTGGCCGGGAGTCCGTTTCTCGTGGAAACCCACGAAAAGCGGACCGCGCTGCGCTTTATGCTTGTGGTCGTCTTGATGAAGATGCTACCCGTGGCCGTGAGGTGTGAGGTATCTGGTGGCGGCATCGTCTCGGGCGAAGGGCATGGCTTGGCCTGGCGTCTGTTTTTCGTGGGAACCCGTGAAAAGCGGACCGCGCTGCGCGTTATGCTTGTGGCCGTCGTAATGAAGAAGAAGACGCTACCCGAGAGGCGTGGGGTATCTGCTGGCGGTGTCGTCTCTAGTGAAGGGAGTGGCTTGGACCGGCGTCCGCTTTTCGTGGGAACCCATGAGGAAAGGGCTGGGGGTCGTGTTGTTCGTTGTGCTCGTGGTTGTCGTGGGGAAGACGTTTCCCATTAGGTGCGAGGTGTCTCTATCTGGCATCCGCTGGCGCCGTCAGCTCTAGCGGAGGAGGGCGCTTGGCTGGGGGTCCGTTTTTCGTGGGAACCCACGAAAGCGGACCGCGTTGCGCTTTATGCTTGTGGCTGTCTTGATGAAGATGTTACAAGTGAGGTGCGCGGTATCTGCTGGGGGCATCGTCTCGAGTGAAGGGCATGGCTTGGCCCGGCGTCTGTTTTTCGTGGGAACCCGTGAAAAGCGGACCGCGTTGCGCTTTATGCTTGTGGCCGTCTTAATGATGAAGAAGATGCTACCCGCGAGGCGTGGGGTGTCTGCTGGTGGTGTCGTCTCTAGTGAAGGGAGTGGCTTGGACTGGCGTCTGCTTTTCGTGGGAACCCACGAGAAAAGGGCCGGGGGTCGTGGTCCATATGGCAAAGATGGGGCGCGTTCTCGCGCGGTTTTTTTTTGTATTCTCCTTGGTTTGTTTTTCGTGGGAGCCCACAAATTGCGGACCCTTATGGAAGTAAATCCCGGGACTTTTTTGATGTCGAGTTGGAAGGTTTTTTTTTCCAAATTTTGCCAAATTTTGCCAAAGCTTGGCCACAATTTTGACAAAATTTGACAAAATTCCACGAACTCGAAAGCCCAACTTCGCCAAATTTTGCTAGAAGAGCTTGGCCACAATTTTGACAAAATTTGGCAAAATTTGACAAAATTCCACGAACTCGAAAGCCCAGCAAACGTCTTGGAAGCTCGTCAAACTAGGGACCCCCGGCCAAGGGGTCCCCGGATCGTTTTGCCTTTTAAATGTCAAAGAAACCTCGGCGAAATTGGAACGCCTTGCCGCGGGATCTGTCTGGCCAGCGTTCGTTGGCGGGTCGCGTCGCCTCTTTTGAGTTCCAAAGCTCGACAGGGACAATCAAACTTGGCGCGCTTGGCTGAGGGGTACCCCAGCGGCGGCGCCAGGGTTGACATGGGTGCCCCCCGTGCACCGCTGGGCATCGCTTTAAAAGTCTCCACTGGTGTCGCGGTTCATGTGCAGACCCGTCGCGGGGTGGGTTTTTTGGGACTCGGGGACGCGGCGCCTGAGAGACAGACCTGGACACCCCCCCGCGGCGGGGACAGGGTTGACGCTGGTGCCCCCGTCTACCGCGGGGCATCGCTTTGCGCGTGTCTTTCTGCGTGCGTTGTGATTCTTTCTTGCGCTTGCGGAACACGTCTGCCTGGGCACCCTAGCGGCGAGGCCAGGCCCGACAATGGTGCCCCCGTCCACCGCTGGGCATTGCTTTGAAAGTTGATCACTTCCCGCCCCTTTATCGCGCGCCTCCTTTTTTTCACTGCCTTGCCCCACGTCTTTTGTCGAGTTCTACCGGCCACCTCCGCTATGTCTGAGTCGAGTAGTCTGCCTTTGTCTCGTCTTATCGGTTCGGCGCTCGTATCCTTGAGGAGGCAAACCCTGAGCCGCGAGAGAAAGCGACAAAAGCGCAACCAAGGCCCTGAGTTTGTGAATTTTGAGGCAAAAAGTGCCCGGGCCTACTCTGAGGCCAAAATAAACGTTGAGAAATTTGCGCCGCTTCGTCAACTCTGACACCCAAAACTCTGACCACTGTCAAAGCCTTGCGACTTTTTACACCTTGCGAAAGATGAGGTGACTGACGGTTTCCTTAAAACCGTGCAGACAACTGACAGGGACACTCGTTTTCTTCCCTCTTGAGATTCTCCTTGGTGCATGCAAGTTGAAACTTTGACGCGGGTTATTGGAGTTTGCCGCTTGTTATTAAAGAGGGAATTGGAGGATCACAGCTTTACATCATGATAGAAGAGTGAACAGCAGTTCGTTATCATCACACGGCTTACAAGATTCATTGCTGGAACTTTACTTACTTAACTTATCTCGCATATTATAATTAGTTGACGCTCTAAGTAGTCAAGAGGCGACTAGCATGCGCGTCCCACCGCAGGGGCCATTGGAGCGAGAAGACACAAACCAAGAGTACTCGCTCGATCAGGATGGAGGCATCGCTGAAGAGTTCTACGACGACTACTACGCAGATATGCTGCCTGACGAATACGGGGAGCCATATACGGGACCGGATATTTCTTGAAGATTGCCGTTCGTTGCTGTTTTTCGCCACTTGCTTCTGTAGATACGTTCTGATATTTCATCTGAGTAGGATAAGCTGACTGTTATTCTGATTGCAAATTTTGTGAAAAATGATGTTGTGACGAAAATAAAATAGAGGATGTTGAAGGGTTATTTGTTTTGTGATTGTTTAGGGCGACCGTGAGAGATCATTGAAGCAGTCGAGCCGTGTACAGAGCACAGTTTTTTGTGCTACCCCAGAAATTTCTCCAATGTATTGTGGGACGGTCCTCTGACCATCGATTAAACCAGCGCGGTTTCGAATTGCAAACTTTATACAAGTAGCTACACGGATAAAACCTACAAGGCACACTTTTGTTTCGTACTTCTATCTAGCGACAAAAAACTAAGAAGAATACAGATGAGGCAGATATGTAGTTAGCATGCATTAAATCCACTTGTGGAGCATCCGCATCTTCCGTGTATCTTCGATTTAATGTTCTTGTTCGTCCTCGCGTGACTGCTCAGGAGATCGTGCGTTCAGGGGTGCTTGTCATTGCCAAAGCACACCTTCATGGCAGAGGACGACTGGCATGACGATATACCTAACGTGGCAGTCTCCTGAAGAGAAAGACGATGAATGTGTGTGTTGGTTCTCTCAGTGCGGTAAAGTGTAGATTTGAAGTGCAAGACGGTGAGGCGTCTAGTAGATCCTGGCTCGCTCTTTTGGTAACGTCAAGTCTTCAGTTTCACAACGAACACTGGTGTAAAAAGCTAGATCAGACTTAGCTTCGCTCATGGCCAAAATCAGAAGCTTGGGCTAGTGGGGAAGTCTTCTGGTATTAAGACAGGTGTCTGAAACGGTTCTTGACACTCACGAAACGTCGATCTTGATTAAAAAGCTCTAGGGTCCTGGGGGTTTGGCTGATCTCAAGTTTTTTCTGTGTTTCTGACTCACTGACTTTATGAATGACTGCAGTCTTGAAGTGTCCTCATTGAGTTGAAGCGAATCTTACATCCAGCCAATAGGTATTGATAGATTCATCTATATCTAGATTTCTTGAAAATGCCGGACGTCAACGCGAAACTTGCAGCTGACGTAGTTGCCAAGGTCTCACCCGATGACAAAAAGGCAGATGCTGGGAGTGTCACTAAAGACGCAAATGAGCAGACTGCGGCTCGTGTCGCAGACGGTGAAGACGCAAATGAGAAGACTCCAGCTCTTGCAGACGACGAGAAGGCAGCATCAGATGGAAAGAAGAGGGAGACCAAGAGCGCTCCGAAGAAAATTGCAATGAAAAAAGCAATGAGGAAAGCCGCTACAGGTGGTAAGAAAAGCGCAAGTAAAGATGGTCGTGATGCAGAGGACGAGGGCGACGATCTTGGAAGCAGTGGTGGCAGTGCTGACGCACAAGGAGAATTGGAAGAGGGAAAAGACGGGCCACCTGCCGTTCCCGAAGTGATCACTGCGATGGACCTGATGAAGCGTCCCGCTGCACAGGAGGATGAGGTTGCGCCAGCACCAGAGAAAAAGTTACGGAATACATATAGTGAAAAAACTAGTATAGTTCTAGAGTGGCTGGGTAGTCACAGTCAGACAGATGTTGTTTGTTTATAAAGAATATAAAGCTCTTTGGTCTTCCTGGGTCGATCGCATTTTATCAGGGTTGAGGACATACTTTTAGACAAACACTATGAATCATGATGCTCTAACGCGAAAGCCACGAAACAAGGACACAGAGGATGGCCGTCCGCCGATGATCCAGCCCAGAATAACGGACTTCGCAAGCATAAATGATTTGATCTGAAGATTGATGCTTTAAGTCGAAGGAGAAATTTTCGCATAGAGATTGAAGACAGGTGCCCTGGATTCCAAAATCCATATTTTTTCCAGTTCTCTGAGTTTGAAGTTCTTGCTAGAATCCAGCTCGCGAAGTAAGTTGATACACGTGATTTATGATTTGACAACCCAATCATCCGTCCCCCTTTCCACAAAAGACTACTCATGAACATGATTTGCGCCTAAGACTTGCTTGAAGTTGGAACTGCTCTGTTCTTCATTGTCAACGGTCTCTGACGATGCGAATTGGAAAGCACACAGAGTCAGAATGTTTCTTTGCTTAGTGCATTTGGCTGAGCGGCGTTGAAATTCCAAGAATGCGACCGTTGTTTGTTTGCATTTTATGAGATCTGGTGCCGATGAGAGAATGAGTGAGGCGGCCGCCTATCACAGACTCGAGAAAAATTGTCGATTAGTACTAGTAGTACTAGGAAAAAAAGGAAATTTGAAATTGCTGTAAGGCTCAGAGTTATTCAGGGAAAGGTTTTGTGGATCCAGTAGACAAAAGTGCGGCCGTTTTTGTTAACCACGCATTTCTTATACCGCGAAGAACAAGATGGCTGCTGCGGCGGGGTCACCGAGTAGGGGCGCCGCTTCCGCGACTGTCTCAGTAACGTACGAGCGAGAGTGCAGAGAAATACTCGAGACCGTTTATGAGGGTCTCGACGGTGGCTTCGAGACTCTCGAGTCTCTGAAGCGTATGGGACCCACTGCGGGGACTTATGGGGAGATAACTTATGCCGGCGTCGCCAAGCTGCTCCAGAATCTCGAGAAATTGTCAAGAGAACGCGACTCGCAGGATGAACGTACTTATTTGAGTCGCCGTCTTTTGTGGTCTATCACCTTCTGCACGACCTTTACACGGAGGTACTTGAACGTGACGAGTAACATTATTTTCATAATGTTGACCAATGTTGTATACGACTGGTCTGCTACACCTGCGCGTCCACCATCGATAAGAAAATGTTGAATTGTTCCCTCTCTACATTTTCTACTTTCCAACACAGCGAGAGTTATAGAGAATCTTTCGTGCGAGTGCGACCACTCAGGGGCATAGAGTGCTTTCTCTACCCGATGTCGCCTGCCTAGTATAAGGGGACTTGCCCGACTGCTCCTTCAGGGATCATTAGTAGCGCTGATGTCTTTTACGATCTGGGATGCGGTGTTGGGAAGCTCCTCATGCAGGTGATGCTCACGACGTTCGTGCGTCGTGTCGTCGGGATCGAATGGGGTGAGGCAAGGCATCGCAAATCAGTGGAAGCGAGACAGCGACTGGCGGAACAATTTTTTTTATGCAGCTGAAGTATAGATGATTATAGGTGTACTAGTCGCATGCGCAGGTCCAGCCTTTACGGCTATCAGGAAAGATAGCAACAGGGACGCACGCATGCATAGTTTATTCTGCAGGATTCCTGGGGTTGAGTCTCGGCACCCGCTCTAAAGCTCGGCACCAGTAATCAGGAAGATGCGACAACGCTTGCAGACCGAATGGAACTCCGATGTGAGGATGTTGCAAAGACGGATGTGAGCGACGCTACGCTAGTCTTTTTTTGCTGCGTCGTCTTCGAAGAGGAAGTTGTACTACAACGTCTTGAAATTTGAAACGCTTCGATGTGCTTGTGGAACCGAAAATATGACAATCAACACTAGAGATGGAAAATGAGATTTCCATTCAAGGTGGAAGAACATTCCTCTATGAGGATACAGATAGATAGATGAAGCAAAATGCATAGACATGTCTATCTTCCCTCAACAGGTCCACCGTGTTGCTCAGCGTCTTCTGGAGGGAGCTACGAAACTCCGATATTTGATGCTGACACAAAAACTGGCGATTGAGGGCTTGCGCGCACCGCAGCCTTTCGCTCAAGAACGAAGGTTTGCGCTTGTAGACCGCTGGTGCCTGCCGATGTCATGGACCTCAGAAAACGGCGGCAATATGGTGTATGTCTATCGCCCGAAGCTGGAGAGAGCAGTAGTATGACGATGAGAATAGAGTTGAAGGAGGGTGGCATCGCATAGTCTAGGTGTTGGTATGCTCGAAAGTGATAGACTCAATGGAATCGAAGAAGGATGGCAAGCCAGGCTTGATGCGAGACGAAGAAGATCGAAGATGCTTTATTAGCTTGGTGAATGGTCTACTGTGGGCTCTACCATCGTGGAAAAAAATCCTACAGGGATTCTTTACAGTGATACCCAAGGTTCATTGCCGCGTCAATGTTTTCGCGAAATGAATCTTTCGCTCGCCTCCATCTCCAAAAGCGACAATAGCAGGCTTCCGCTTGGCGATTTCGCCAAAAGTACCGAGCTTGCGGGAGCGAAATGAGCAAAAGCATAGACCTCACACAAATATCGGCCGAATATGAAACAACGTACAGATTCACAGCTATAATTAAAATGTTATATTCTTTCAGCACATTGCCATCACCATTTTTCTGGCTTCAAGGAAAGAACTTTTTTCCAAAGAAGCCTGTTTTGCATGATATGCAGTTTCTCTGTGACAGAATTTTTGCTTGTTAGAGAATATAGAAGCATGTCAGCAGATTCGGAATGCCTGCTCCGACCATTGAGTGTATCTTCTTGGTACGAGGAACACAAGGCCGAGTTTGCGCCGCCCATATGTAACCGCTTGATGCACAAGAACCAGATGACGGTCATGTTCGTGGGCGGCCCGAACAAAAGGCGGGACTTCCACTTAGACCGAGGCTCCGAGTTCTTTTACCAGCTGAAGGGGAATATGAAACTACCGATCATTCTGCCTGGAAGCGAAGACAAGAACGAGCTACGAATAGTGGAAATCAAAGAGGGGCAAGTGTTTCTCTTGCCGGGCTGCGTGCCTCACTCTCCGCAACGGCCGGAGAATGACTCTCTTGGCATGGTCGTTGAGCGGGAGAGGTGTTTGTGGAGAGTTTTTTTCGCTGCATGTCGATGATTTGAAGCTCGAATTTTTCCTAGCCTTTTGGTCCGGGGATCGGGCTCCTCTTTCTTACTGTAGGTTACGTACCCTGAGGAGGTAATGCTTTTCTTGTCTCTTTTCTCTCCAGGTATGACGACGAAGTTGACGGATTACGGTATTTCGAGGGTTTTGATTTTTTGAAAGACGAGCATGAACCTGAAAATTTAAACGTGGACACCATATTGTGGGAGCGATTCTTTATTATGACTGGAATAGGTCAAGAAATAGAAACGGGCGGTGAAGACACAAGAATAATGCACACATCAACTGTCTTCCAGTCGTGGGATCTCAGCTCCTCTTATTTCTAGCCTCAAGATATGACCACCTTAATAGTCGATTGTCGCTCGCTGGCGGACGACTTGGCGCCTGTAGTTCGTGCTTTCAACGCTAGCGAGGAGAGCAAGAGTAATAAAGCGGGAGACAACGTCTTCAGCTGGAAAAGGTTACGAAGAGGATTGAAAAGCGTTAGCCACGTGCTTGTGTCAACGTCAAGGATTTTCTTCAACTTCTACTGTTGAATGCCGTAATCACGATTTGCATCTGTGCCCATCTAATGTAGGACGATGCATCATCCACCATCGACCGAACGTTCGAGCCGAAATTTCCGGTGAATCAGAAAATCGCTGATGTACCGACGCCCTTCTCCCTGAACGATTTCATCAGTAAGCATCGTGCGGAGCTGCGTGGCGGAGCATCCTTGTCGCTCTTTGGAGATGCGCATCCGGACAAGGAGTTCACAGTTCTAGTTGGCCTTCCGATCGAAATCGATGCAGCACATGTGGAAACCTGCGTGTTGCAGGTGGAGGGAGAGACGGAACTTGCAAGTGTTATCGAGGAGAGCACGATTATGCGTGTAAAGAAGGGCGAGTGTGTCGTGCTTCCCGCATATTCAAAATGGAAAAGAGTCCCGGAGTCCTCAGGTGGCCAAGAATCTCAAGGTGAAGATAGTCCAATAAATGTTGCGCTACTGATCAGGGTGACGCCGCGAAAAAATGCGCAATTCTATGGCTACGGAAGTCCCGAGTAAGCAATCTGGATAGAATCGTGTATAGAAGGGTGGTCGCCTGGAATTTGATAACCTACTTATTATGTTGTCGCGTCCGTTGACAGTTTTTGTAAATGTTTGTAAAAAATATGGAGTCTCTCAATCAATCTGAGATGCGAAATGTGGGACGAGTAACATTTTCAGCGCACTCAAGTACGAGTAACATTCTCAGCGTTTCATGCGGTAAATTGAAGCTGGTTGTATGAGACAGAAAAACTACATGACTTCCCTGAGAGCGATGTTGAGGACAAGACTTAGAAGTCAGCCCGAGTAGAGAGAGCTCTTGTTTAAAACGCCATCCCGAAGAAGTCTGTAGTGGGTAGATTCACCGGAAAAAATGTCTTGGTCAAATCATCCTTTGAGTTATGGAGATTTTCCGGTTTGGCCATTCCCCTTGTTTCTTCCAAAAACGAAGTTGTTTCTAGCTAGAAGAGAGTAGAGGAAGACCACCTATCTTGCATTTTCATCACAAAAAGTACAGAATTTGAAAATGTTGCTGGCTCGGTCGCTTTGGCGACGAGGACCAGACACCCTGATGGCAAGCTCGACGAACAGCGTCATTCCGAAAAATAGCGCCCTGAAGCCGCTCAAAGTTATGCACAGGGGGTCGTACTCGTAGTAGAGCCATACTTACACTGAGGAGGATAGAGTAGGAAACCACGAAAAAACATTTCATGTTTCTCGGAACCAAAAAGTTGGACTCTGTTTTTACATACCTGATATACCTTAGATTAGTCCCTTTAACCAACAGATAAGATAAAGATTCTATCTTGCCCTAAATCCATCGTGCAGGCGAGAATGTTGTGCCCAGGCGGACTCCCGTACAAGTCGTACGGTAAGGGTCAGTTCCTGATCAATAAGAACGCCGCTCCGGGTTTTGCCGCTTGGGGTCTCTGGTGTACGGCCTTCGGCTACGCGTTCTGGTGCTTGAAGTGGCACCATCCTGGCAACTACCCACCGAGCTGGACAGACCACGAGCGCGGATGGCTGTAAGTGAACACAACGACGAGTCAGTATGCTGGCGATAAAGGACAGGCATAGGTTGGAGATACTGAGCAGGTTGGCGACATGTGTGGCGTTGATGAAGGTGGGTTGATGTCATTTGGCAAGCTAGTACACGAAGAATATGCAATTGTTGTTAGGAGAGACATTCATGATTATGAAAATAGGTACTGCCGAAAACTACGCGATCTTCTGGCGCTACTCATACATGTCGCTTCTCTGCTTCAGTCCGGGGGAAAGTATCCTCCGCGAATAATATAACAAACTCACTTCTTGAGATCCTTCTTCAAGATGTCCACAAGAAACATGACACTACTCTTATATAAATCCACAAATCGATCTATTTGAAAAAACTACTTTCGTCGAGACTGCCTTCTTCAACATGATTACCGTAAATGTGTGTGTCGTCTTCAACATTCCACCCTGGTGTGAAGTTACAACCAAGAATTTGAACACCCAGCGAAAGTTCCGTGTAAGTTGGTCCTGCGAAGTAGAGAGAGTCATTTGTTTTAGAAGATCCGGGTCAGGAGAAAAGGTACGAAGTTGTAGGTTCACGATGAGATCCCCATAAACGAAATATGCAGAATTTTACAACCATAAAACATGGAAGTAGAAGATGCGAGTTTGCACTTTTCTATCTGGGTACGTAGTTTCGAACAATATCTTGTAGAGGTCCACAAAGTATTTTCATTCACAACTTCAATCTGCAGGCAAGGAGCGCCTTAGCTAGGGATGCCATAGAAAGGGGAGACCAAATAGAAGGAGCTTTTTGACCTATTGCTTAGTTTCCTATCATGTTATAGACATGTACAGTTAGAGACCTAAATTGTGTTTTTGTGCATCTTCTGCACTTCTATGATACTTGCATGAATGAATGACAATGACCGCCGTTGGTATTTCTTGCATCCTTCATCTATTTGCTCAAAAGTTTTGTCCATGTTTGTGCCGTTTATCGTATACGCTATTGAACCGGCAGTGTTTTGAGGATATTCATATTCACAACACTTTCTGCCTGGCGCGCCAATGAGTCATCCTCTTATCGATCACTATCTTCTGATAATCAAGAAAGATGACACTTTCTAGTGAACCGAAAGTTGGCGCGAGCGGGCCTGCCTTCGCACCGTCCAAAGCGGTGACGCGGTATCTGTGTGTGTGTGGTTTGTATTCGTTTAGCGATGCTGCGCTGCGTGCGTTGTTTGAGTCCTTAGATGACTTCGTGCAGCAGCATCCCAGAGGCCACGCAGCCATTTTGGAGTTTGCCACTGCTAGCGCCGCTGTGAGAGCGCAAACACATCTTCAACGTGTTCGCCAGTCTGAGCTGAAGAATAAGGAGAACGGTGCATCTTCTCCTTCAAGTTCAACAAGCGGTAGTACAACAAGTAGCGAGCATGAGCAGGGTCCATGTATTTCAAGGAGAATAACGAACTGCACAGATCAGAACGAGGCCGCCTCGAGCTCTCCACCAAGTGAAGGAAGCACTTCTGTAGTTGTGACGAGACGTTCTTCCGCTGCGCCTTCCGCAACTAAGCTCGAGTCGGGACCCGAGAACAATGAAAGTCCAGATCACGACAAGGCCACGAAAGAAGCACGCCAAGAAGACAGGGTGGCTTTTAGCAAAGTTAGTTTTTGTGCTTTGGTGAAAAACCCTAAGAAGGAAAAAAGCCTCCGCAACACCGACGGCACGAGGCCAAGTGGCGCGTACACGTGGGCGACCCTGCCAGTAGAATTGCGACCACAGGGGCTCACATTGGAGGAGGAGTTTATCACGGAGGAAGAAGAGCAGGAACTAGTGGAGTTCCTGCATGGCCGTGACTGGGACACGACTCTACGACGACGTGTGCAGCACTTTGGCATGCGATTCGACTACCTGAGTTTGAAGCCAGTGCAATCGGAACATGACATTCCGGACATCTTGTCCCTGTCTGGCCGTTTTTCGTTCGACCAGCAGTACAATCAAGTGACTGTCAACGAGTATCACGCGGGAATCGGGATTGCGCCACATGTGGAAACTCATTCGTGTTTCGAAGAAGGATTTTGCAGTGTGTCTCTCCTGGGTGGTATTGTCATGGATTTTAGAAGAATGGTCCCACAGAAAGCTGCGTACCAAAAGAAGAAGAACCTGGCAGGTGCAACTCATGATAGTGTCGGATTCGAAGACGCCGCTTCTGAGGTCATCACGCGAACGGCCAGTACAGCTAGCTCCGCAGGGGACAATCTCAGGGACATAGACTCACCGAACGATTCTGCTGAAGACGAAAGTGAAATCTCTAGTTCGTCTAAGCAGGAAGGCATTGCTGTAGATAGTTCTGTCCCGAGTCTACATACAACAAATGGTCGACCTCAGGAACAAATACGAGGTACAACTTCAACATTGGAGAAGAATACGACTTTTTCAGCACAACGCGTCATGAGCAGAAAGAAGTCGGAAGAAACAGGGCCACCGAAAATGGTGGAGCAGGTTGTTTCGCTGTATCTTCCACGCAGGTCGAGGATAACTTTCCACGGCGAAGCGCGACTGGGATGGCGCCACGGGATCGCAAGTCGGGTGTCGGATGTTGTTGATGGTCGTTTCATAGCCGAACGTGAGTACCGAATTAGCCTAACCTATCGCAAGGTGAAAGAGCGACCACATTGCGACTGCGCATATTTTTCACTTTGCGACTTCCAAAATCCAGCGTCCATGCAGTTGCCCAAGCGCAAGCTGGCAGCGTCAAACGCTGCTGGTGAGGCAATCACAGGAACGACGACAACGACCAAACCAGAAGTGCCCGTTCAGTCCTGATACAACAACCTACTTCCTTCACTTCACTGATTCTCCCAAGCATACGATGATGAAACAAGCTCGGACGACTTAGCATGGAAGCTTTTCACAAACTGAAAATGGATCTTTTGTCTTCTCAGTCTGCATTGCTCGCCTAGCCATAGTTTATGTCCCAACGATTCCTCACCGAAAAAGCGCTGCTGTTGGATTCCTCCAAAAGAGAAAGGAGTGCGTCATCTCTCATCTCTAGCTGATGGCTGCCAGCGGTGTTCTCTTATAGGCAGTCTGCAATCTCCACATCCAAAAGATCTTGGTGAATCAGAGTTACATTCAACCTTTTCTCTGGAAGATTGTGTATACAAGTGCCACGAATATCCACACGAGAAGCTACTTCCATGCTCAGATCACAGAGAAATATCTTCGGCGATGATGATGGTCGCCCCTCGTTCTTTTGGTGATTTGTTTTGGCGTAGATAGAGGGCGTAGCAGTTCTGCAGGACTTTTGCCAATGACGCAGGTCGAGCATTTCTCTCTTTCGGGGGCCTAATGTCCTACGTAAATCATGTGGTTCACTCGCCGCGTCTCGGCGCCCTAATTTCCTTCGGGAGCTTATCAATAGTAATGTGGCTGCTTACCCTTCGGGGACCTTCCTAAGCGGAGGGTCATCATTGTGATCTACAGTGTCGTGTACTCATGGTTTTCTTCTTACCTATCAAATCGATTAGCAAGAGTTGGGTGTATTAATTTCTGAGAATCGGTAGTCAACAAAAGTAGGAGTAGGTACCTATTTTTTAGAGGTAGAAAAAGAAAAATGATGCGTGAGGCAGTGGAGCCGCTGAAGATCCTGCACACGACTTCCAACTATGGGAAGAACTTGCCCGGAAAATCAAGCACGATTGATCCCCACATAGGTGTGCAAGCGTTGTGGACGTACATTTTGCCCGAAGCCTACCGTGGCCCAATGTCGGAGCAAGATTCCGTCGAAGATCGAACGCAGCCCTGTTGTATGCACCATGTTCGTCGTATTTCGCTGCCACCTGCGGCGTTTGCCGAGTGGGCTGGCGTAGACGATTTCGACGCTTACGTTGCAGCACAAAACGCACGAAAAAAGGGGAAGAAAGGAAAAGGAAAAGAAGGCAAGAAAGGAAAGAAGGGACGCGGCAAAGCACAGCACGGTGGAGATGATGAGGTGGAAGGCGCCGCAAACGACAAGTGGAGCCTTTTTTTCGTGAACACAACGCCTGGTAGTGCAGCACAGCATCGGTTTCACAAGTACGTCTTGATGATGGACAGCGAGCATGACCAGTGGGCCGCCAAGTGCAGGCATTTCGCACGTTACAAACCAGTGGAAGAGGTTAGTGGAGTCTCCAGTTTCGAGCTACCTGCTGCGCTCGCACGTTTTTATCGGGAGGAGTTTGGGGGCTTGTTGGACGCCTGCAACGAGGATGGCCGGATTGTGGAGCATGTGCATGTTGGCATTCTCGGTGGAAACGTGTTCGCGTCGTACGTCGATGAAAACCCGCATGTCTGGGAGCACACTCTACGCCCGGCGCTGCCGCGCATTCATCAGAACGGGAATGAGGATCCCCATCACGAGGACGACTTTGATTTTGAGAACTGGCAGTCTGATGGCGAACCCGAAGAATCGTGGCAAACTGTCAAGGGGAAGCCAAAAGCGAAGGATGGTGCTAACAAGACTCATTATTGCGTTCTTTCTCTGCAGCACGACTTTTGTCGTCTCTTTTGGAGTTTAGAATCACAAGTTCAATCTATTTTTTTGACATGTACTAATCGTAGTGCATCATTATTTTTTTTTGTTCTCTCCTTTTCGAATCAGGTTGTCTGCCTTTTTGTTTCGAATCGGATGAGAACATCTTTCCAGATGGGGAGGGTATTTTCCGTCACTATTGCCGCGCAGAAGCGTTATGGCGCTGCAAACGCAACGGATGTCACACTGCGGCAAGGAACGTACCGGTGCCGCTAAGGGTCCCGGTGGGCAGTAAGAAGAAAGCTACAGATCAACAGGGTGATTCAGCTGAAACAACTTGTGTTGAACAAGAAGATGCTGATCGTGATCAACAAAGTGATATCCGTGGTCCCCGCTTTGCCAAAAATATCACCGATGCCAAGAAACTGAAGGATGATGATCGTGTGGAATCTCGCTGGTTCTCCAGCACTTGCTGGTTTCATGAGCACCTGAAGGACCGTGAGTCGCAGAATTTGCGTAAGGGATTCGAACGCCAGTACTGCAACGAATGTTGGCGCACTTATGGCGACTGCATCGAGGGGAAAATTTTGGAGTACGCCAAGATGGGCTCCGGGCTCTACAACGGCAAGGGATACACTGGAAGCGATAATCCGAATGTTATGGCGAATAATTGAAGTTCATATAATCTCATCTCGTAATATAGCAAAAGTGTACTACTTACCGATGAAATACTCTTGGTCCAACGATGCTGATGCACTACGTTACAGATGAGATAGAGATTTAGATGAGATTGATAGGTTAATACTAGCTTGGAGCGTCCGATAACATCCCTCCCACTAGGATCCCCCTCCTCCCCAAAATAAGAAAGAAACTAAGCAAGGCAAAGATGTAAGCGATACGCGTTTTCAAATTTCGAAAATTTTCCACGTTTTGCCATAGTTTGCGGATTGGGTCTCGTGCGTTTGAAGTCAAGGGCTAAGATCCCAAAGCTTTCCGACTTTCAGCCCTTTCGCTGAAATTCAGTGTCTTGGATCTGCATTCTTCAAATTTCGAAAATTCTCCGCGTTTTGTTGTCGTTTTGGGATTGAATTTTGTGCGTTTGGAGCGCTAAAGTCCCTAAGTTTTTGACTTTCAGCCCTTTCCCTGAGATTCAGCCTCATGGGTTTGCATTTTTCAAATTTCGAATATTTTCCACATTTTGTCGCCGTTTTGGGATTGAATTCTGTGCGTTTGAAGTGCTAAAGTCCCAAAATTTTTGATTTTAAGCACTTTCCCTGAGATTCAACCTCTTGGCTTCGCGTTTTTCCAATTTCAATAATTTTCCACGTTTTTCGTCGTTTTGGGAGTGAATCCCGTGAGTTTGAAAGGCTAAGGCCCCAAAATTTTTGATTTTAAGCCTTTTCGCTGAAATTTAATGCCTTGGCTTCGCGTTTTTCAAATTTCGAAAACTTTCCACATTTTGCCGCCGTTTTCGGGTTGAATTCCGTGCGTTTGAGGTGCTAAGATCCCAAAATTTTTGATTTTAAGCCCTTTCTCCCGAAATTCAATTCCATGGCTTCGCGGTTTCATGGTTAATGGTTTCATGGTTAATGGTTTCGTGGTTTCCTGGTTTCATCTTGGTTTCCTGGTTTCGTGGTTTCATGGTTTCATGGTTTGGTTTCGTGGTTTGGTTTCATGGTTTCATGGTTTCTTTTCATGGTTTCCTGGTTTCGTGGGTTCATGGGTTCATGGGTTCAGGGGTTCAGGGGTTCATGGGTTCATGGGTTCAGGGGTTCAGGGGTTCATGGGTTCATGGGTTCAGGGGTTCAGGGGTTCAGGGGTTCAGGGGTTCATGGGTTTGGGGTTTGTTTGTTTTTGTGTTGGAGGTTTTGGGTTTGGGTGTTTTGGGTTTGGGTGTTGGAGCTTTTGGGTTTGGGTGTTGGAGCTTTTGGGTTTGGGTGTTGGAGGTTTTGGGTTTGGGTGTTGGAGGTTGAGGTTTCCGAAGGGATGTGTTTGCAAAGTTTTATTGCTCTTAATATTGACACTAGTTCTAATGGTAGGGATGGAACGACACTGCAAATGCGGCCAGTTGGGCGGCACCAGCAGGACACATGCGATATCTGTCTACGTCTGAAGCGCGAGCAAGGTTTCAGTGCTGGGTGTCTCAAATTTTCCAGTTGGTGTGCGAAAGGGCTTATTCGCGTCAAACCGGGCTCGCAACGCTGGTCTTGGGCGGCAGGAATTAACTCTGAGGAGGATGCACAAAATGCTTGCGCTGGAGGTGCCGGTCGTGCGCGCCGACGCAGATAAGCAGAGGATCACCGAAAATGTAGTCATGATAGTAAAAATATGATGGAAAAAGTGAAGCCCGGAGCTTTCTGTAAGAAGAAATATTTATGTAGGTACGTACGTTCTCTTCGGAGAAAAAGAAATTGTGACTAAGTTTGTCGTGAACCACGACAGATTTTGATATTGACCAAATCCCATACCCATTTCAAAAAAGACGACTCACTATCGAGCAAAATTTTTCAAATAATGTGACCATCGAATATTTCAATTTCTAGTATTTTTTTTTACTCCCCCACTTCCGCGGCAGTTGTTTGCCCCCATTTACACGGCATGCGTTTGCCGTCAGCTCCACGGCATTCGCTTGTCCTAAAATATTCAGCACCCAGTGGGCTCATTCGCTAAGTGCAAGGTTTTTCCAAGAAAGCTGCAATGAAGCGTACATTGATGGAGTTCCCGAATTTCAGTCATACCACGCGCACGCTTCATGTTCCTCAAGCATGATTTATTGCACATGGTATTCAGCTCTAGAAATGCGGAACGCGCTCAGAAAACGAACAGAAGATCAGTCGCAGAAGGCGGCATTCGAAGTTGATGTTCACATTTGATTTCCGTAGATCCTGTGTGCGCGAATGAAATCCGAAAAGATCTGGTGAGATCAAACGAATCGGCATGATCGGGCGATTCTTTCTTCAATATGAAGCTCGAAGATCCAAGATCTGGTTTTGGCTTTCTTGGTCGTTGAAAGTAGCTTTTTCTCGCAAAGTTTTTCGAGGATCCTCTCAACAACTTGAGTTTTTTGTTTCAATAAAAACACTATCAGGCGTTGATGTTGTTTGTTTCATTTTACCTTGGTAACAATGTAGTAGTTTTTGGTAACAATGTAGTTGTTGAGATGTCTCCTGGATGTTTTCATTACATAAGTTGCAGCACAAATATTCCGGTAGTTATTCTGCTGATGTTCTAGATTCAATCGACGCATCCATAAAAAGTACATTTCAATTTGTTATGAAAAACTATAAACGCCTCGGTAAAAATGGAGCTCGTGCGAGAGTGGGCGACCGATTCCGGCAGTCGTGATTGTAGCACGGAAGTAATACCTCGAAACCTGAGCTGGAATCGAGATTTGCTACTCACGTCATGTGACGACCACGTGCTACGTCTCTTTAAGCTGCAGAAGGATGAGGCCGCTCCTAGCGGAAATGAGCAGTCTACAACTTCTTCTAGGAAAGCAACTGCGCATCATGAGGAGAAGCCTACTTTTAGCGTGGATCTGTATGCAGAGCATCCGTGTGGAGAAGCCATTTTAGACTTCTTGTGGACTTCTAAGGAAGGATCCAGTCCACACGCTACTACTAGCAATCCGGCAGAACATACTTCATTTTTTGTCTCCTGCACTGGCCGACCCATCCAGCTGATGCGAATCGAGGCGAAGAATCGGGATGGAGAAGCTGACACAACCGAAGGAAGAGCAGAGATTCATGTGGGTTCGTCTTTTCCTGGTTACAACCACGTTGACGAGGTTACGCACGCATACTCGCTTGCGTGTTCGCGACACCACTTATTTGGCGGATACGAGAGTAGCGTCAAAGTATTTGATGTGAATATGCCGGGACGTCGATGTGTTGTCGATCTGCTGACGAATACGCGAAAGCGAAATTTTGGGCGAGATCACCCTTCGGGCATCATTTCTGCGATCGCGTTTCGGTCTGAAACGGCTCTGCTTGCAGGCGGAAGCTTGACGGGGAAGTTGGCGCTCTATGATCCCTTCCGCTCTGCTACGGGTCCCGCATTAACGCTTGCGCGCGAAGGCGGAGTAGAATTTGAGCGCATTCTTTCCGCGGAGCAGCAGCGGATAAATGACGGCTCGTCCTGTGCTGAATCATCTACTCTTCCGAAAATCTTTGGAGGCCGCGCTGCGCCAGCTGGAGCGAGAAAAAAGGCTGCGGCAAAGCGCAACGCGCACTTTGTTCGAACACTGGTCGATGTTGGGAGAATGGCAGACTCGACGAACAGCACTGAATTAGAACCCGAAGCCGATGACGGTTATTACAACAGTACCAGCACTTCTAAGCCTAACCTGAAGAATAAGATGGGTGGCGTGACGCAGCTTGAGTGGATCGATGATTTCTTTTTACTCTCTGGTCACAGGAAAGACGAATGTCTGCGACTATGGGATATTAGGATGCCGAAGCAGCCCCTGGACTTCCCGCAGAGGACAGATTATGATGCTGAACAAGCTGAGCATCAGGTTTCTGAATTCGAAGCGGAAGAAGACGTGAGGATAGAACAAGGCCTTTTTGGTCAAGGCAAGGCAGAGGATCAATTATATTCCGGCTGTCCAGTGTTATCACAGCCTGTTTTCCGATTGCCTCGCTCGACGCAGCGCACGCACCAACGAATCAAATTCTGCACTGCTGGCGTGTGTGCGATGAGCGGGGACGATGCGGGCAACTTGCATTGGTATAGGCTAGACACGGGGGAGCGGGTGCGAACAGAATTTTTGGGTCACGACGAGGTAGTGCCAGCGGTGGACTGGAGTCTCGACTTCCCAGTGGTCGCGACATGCCGCGGCAGTCGCAAATACGCCGACTTTGGCCGAGACTTGGGAGAAATCGCTAGAGAGGGACAGCTCCAACACTTGGCTGGAGAGCCGGAAGAACAGAACGAGTTGGATCGTAATGTAGCTGGACTCAGCTCCTGCATCGGCAGTAAAAGTCCTTCATTAAAGCGACGACGTGGGGAGGACGACATCGTTGTGATGCCCGATAGTGCTAACGCATCTTCGTCGCGAAGCATTGCCGTCCAAACAGTGGCCTCTGGCGACAGCGCGGCAGAGCAAACTGCAGTTGCGGGGGAAGATGGAGATGTGGCTCAACATAGTAATGTTCCAATTGCAAAGCAGCCGTCTCATCAGAATGCAATTTCCCTATGGAGAATACTGGAGATTACCGATACTGACGCGGTAGAGGCCGTCCGCGATGAATTACAGGAGTGTGGCGCGGCTGCCACCAGTAGTTAAACTTCGGCTCTCATGTCCGACAAAAAATCTTTCGACACCTGATTCCTGGAAATGAACATCTTCAATAGAATCCCTCTGCTTCCTCTGAGGCTTTTTCCCCTTTCCTCTGCCTTCTTGGCACAACACACAAAAACAATTACTTACAATTGTTTTACAACGCAAACGCGGGATGTTGAAAATTAAATGAGTGTTGGAGTTCATGGAATTTTGTTATTCGGTTGCAAGAAAGTTGGTGAAGTCGGTTATCCATCCGGCACTGTATAGTTACAAAATAGGACGCCTGCATCATGCAAAGGTCTGACGGAGTGACGAGGCAAAAGGATTTCGCTTCTCTGCTACACTCTGCTCTGACTCAGTGACGATTTCCGTCTTGTTTTCTGTCTACTTCCTCTCCGCGGCTAGCAAACTTTGAAGCACCGCTGTCGAAAAATGGCTCTCGTCGCATATCCGCATTTACTGCAGGTGACTCCTCGTCAGGAAGTCACTGCTGCTCAGCAAAGTTCCAATGTGAAGTTTTTGCAACGTTTGTGTGCGCGTTTGGACGGTACCTCGTTGTTGCGGCAGCGCGTTGAGGCTTTGCGGGATTTCCTGAAATTTGTGGAATCTACTTCTGGCGTGCGGCAGGGTGGGCGGTGTCAAACAAGGGACCACACAAGGAAAGCTAAGACAGAGACGAAGCGTTCGGAACGCGGTGCAGACGCGTCGAACATCAACGTGCTGGCTTCAACATCTTCAAAGCACAGTCATGCTGAAGATGGAGATTACAGAAAAGATGCAAACTGGCAAGAGGAAGAGAAGAGCAGGGGTTCCGGAGCAAGAACTTCTTGTTTTTGGAACAAGTGCAAGACCGCAACTTCTAGTACATCAGCACCATCGTCGCACGACATGCGAAACAAGGCTCCTGGGATGCATTCTAATGTGTCGGACCTTTTTCCTGCTTCGATGGGCAGCATGTTTCTGTTGCGTGTAGTAACACTCTTCGCATTGCATGCGAGAAAGCTCGTGGTTGCGTCGTCGAGTACCAGCAGAAGCTCCATCAAGGCGAGTTGGAGTTCCGTGTTAGAACTGGAGCTTCGAATAATAGCACTGTTTCTTGAAAACGAGGCGGACCTGGCGATGTTCGCTCCAGCGGTGGCAGAGTCCGGGGTTGCTGCTACACTTGCGGAAATACTCACGCCGAGTTGGCAAGCAGACGAACCGGAGTATACGATAACAGTGGGCGATGGTGATGAGGGTAATTTGTTTCTAGTGAAGGATGTGGCTTTACGTAAGATAATGAAAAAGTCAAGCAGCAATTGACTCAATAATATCTAGATCTGATCAAAGAAGGTAAACACTAGAGACTTCTTACCTAATCTCTGCCGACCACAGAACATCGTGGCTTCCACATAATTTAGGTCCTCCGGACGATCGTATTCGCCTTCGAGCGTTACGAATCTTGGAGCGTTTGTGCCGTTCGGGGGACGGCTTGAAGCGGCTTCTTTGTAAAACTTTGCTGCTGACGGAGAAGGCACGAGCGTGCATTTTGGAAACAGTGACGCCGGCGACAGGTGGAGCCGCTGTTGATCTCTTAGTCTTAAGAGGAGTCGCGTTGTTCGAGTTTGGTTGCGTAGGGCTGCTGCGCGAAATAGGAGGAATTTCAATTTATAGAACTGTCGGGAGCCCCAGAGATAGCAGACGCACAGGCCAAAGGGCTTACCGACGTGGCGCACGCGCGTGGGCCCGGGGTGCAGGCGTGAGCCCCCCAGCCCCTTCAGATGCCGCGCGGCCGGCAGTCCTGGGGTAGGCTTTGGCATGCTGTGGCCGCGGATGACGGTGACGGGCGTGCCGAGGTCTCCAGCAATGCCCCGGGCAGAATCTCCGTGGCCGATGGCGCGTACACCTGTGTAGCGCGGCGCGCGCCTTGCAGCGTGGTGGAGCCCGTGGCCCCAAGCAAGATCTTCGAAATCGGTGGCAGCGTAGAAGAGGAGGAAGAACGGCCCCCCGCGGGGGTGTCTTCGTTATGGCGTGCGATTCCGCCAAGAGCACCCCCCGGCTTCGCGTCTTTTTAGGCCTCGCGCTGGCGTTTGGAGCTGTGCTGTTCGCCGTTGCCTGCTCTCTATATCTCGGGGCGCCAGCGCCGCTGGTGTCAGAACGGTGGCGAGGGAAGCTGGTTTATCGGTTGCGACTCTACGACCGTGCGGGCCACTGTTCGCGTGAGACAGTGGCGTGAAGACGTGGGCAACGACGTGGCGGGGGCGGTGAAATAGATACCACTGGAACGAGCAGCAGCCACGGGCGCACTTTTCCCCTGGCTCAGCCATGGCGAACTGCAGGGGGCGGAATTCCCAACGATGTCGCCACGGCGAAGGTGCCGTGCGCGCTGAAGTGTGACAGCGCTGGCGGGCTTGTCCATTTATTAAATATATAGCGTCGCTTCGCACGCAAGCGAAACGCACAAAGCGCAGCGCGCAGCCTGCTTGGCGGCCCCGCCGAACTCAACGCCGCCCACTTGTATGGAAAACCAGGCAAATCCCAAAGCCCGCCCCGACTCCGCTGGGCCACCTCCCTGTTGAAGCGTAGAACCCTCGGGCGGGGCAACTGCAACCCTTTGAAGGGGGTGCGGTTGGTAGGTGCAGCGGCCGGGGGCTGTGTGTGCTGGGGTGTTCTTGCTTGGGTGTTGCTTCGTTCTAATTTATTAGCGATTCCGAAGTGTGTGCGGCAAGCGCAGCCAAGCTGTGGAGCTGTCTAGAAACTTTGGGGAGGCTCTGGCGTGATTGGGGCTGGATCGATGGGTCAGCGTGACGCTGATGTGTTGCGAGCCTCTCACTCTCAGCAGATTGGTTTGCTGACTCTGGCGCGGTGAGTCATTTGACGAGCTTACCCTTGTCGGCTTGCCCGCTTCATTCCTCCGCGTCTGTCTCGCACTCCCTCGCGGGTGTGCATGCATATTGGCGTGACAGACACAGCAGCGCACAGCGCTGACAGCTTGAAAATGCGGAGTGGATATGTGCTGGGCGCCGCAGGTGAGTTCCTCGGCTTGGAGAGGGAAGAGCGAAGGGCCTGGGGCTTGCGGTTCTGCGTGTCAGCAAGCTAGGAGGGGGCGGGCGCTGTAGATGGGTCGGAGCTTGCACGCACGCACGGCGGCGGGCTCGGGATCAGGTAGGTTGGTGCGGGCCCGGTTTTGGCGTTTCTTTGGTTTTCTTTGTCTTTCGCAATCGCATCGCTGGTAGCGGTAGGTGGTTCGTGGCCCGCTGTTGTTCTGCCATCTAATTTGTGAGCTGCCTTTGTGTGCTGATCGACCTGTTTTTCTGAGAATATTGGTCCACAGACGAGAATGAACCCACGGCGCGCGGAGGCGTGGGTGTTTGGGTGTCTTTGTCGGTGCGTGGGGTGCCTCTCGTCTTTCTCTCGTCTGTCTCTTTGGGTCTTTAGCATTTTGAGAACCTGCATGGGCATAAGGCTGGGCGTGGTGAGATAGTAGACTCTTCTAATGGTGGAGTGCTTTCGCGACAATCCGGGTGAAGAGGCCGCCGTCCTCGCAGTTGTTGAGCAGTTGCTTCGTTCGGTTCCTGCTTATGGTAAAATAGGAAGAGATGAAAAAATGCAGCACCGTCCGAACCCGAAGGCGAGCAACATACGCCATAATACAACAATTTGCAGGGAGGCAACCTGTTCGTGCCAAGACGAGCTGGAAGTCGCTACAGCAGCGGAACATGCGAGGGCCGGAATGGAAATAGAGACCGGTGATGAGTTGGGCCTGGGGCACGATCACAAGGGCACTGGCGCTGCAGACGCAGAGGAGTGCCGATTGCATCTGGACGACAGTAGTCAACGTGCGGAAGCGAATGCTGAAGCCGGTGCGGCTGCTGATGTAGGAGAAGGCACGGACACTGGAGGTGAAGATCAAGATAGCGATACAAGTGATACCTCTGACGACTACGATGCCGAGTTTGATGACACGAAAATGGCGGTAGGCGCAAGCGAGATGACGCGTCGCTTCGGTCTGCGACTTTTGCGACGGCTCTTTGAGCTCGAGGACGTTTTCCCGACACCAGAATCGAGGCGACATTTAGACCGGAATCCTTATTTTCTCCGCATAATCCTCAAGAGGCTAGTCCAAGTGGCATTTTCGGTTGAGAGCCATGCGGCCGCGGGTGATGAGAGTCGACCCAACACGGAGGAAAAACGCAACAGAGATCGTGGCGGCGTTGACGTTTCCGACGACGAAACGGGCGTCGAATCTCTCATGCGCAAGAGTCTGCTTCGTGATGAGGAAGACGCGGTCCGTACGCGTGCTGCAGCTGGTCCTTCCAACAAGGTAGACACGCAGGATTTTCGAAGTACAGGAGAGGAGATGAAAAACAGAGGCGCTTCTACTACCAAAAATGTTGTAGGACAAAAGATGAAACACGAGAAACATCATCCACGTTGGGAGCGGCAATATGCGAATGAAAACAGAAGAAAAACGCGCCATTCTCGCACTCGCTGGGAGATATGCGGCTCGTCGCGGCCGAATAGTGCCGGCATCTGGCGAAGCAAGAGAGACCAACAGGAGAAGGAACAGTATAGCAAAGGAAATGCTTCGAAAGAAGCTCAAGTTCTTAGAGACCAGCTTGGCGATGCGCCAGCAATGCACTTTGACGCGTCTAAGGTGGTATCGTTTGATCGATCGGGCTTTGACTTTTTCAAGCGACCGGCGCACCCCTTCTTCTTTGAGTGCGCCGAACCCGATGATGGTGATGATCCTTTGGAATCGCTAACACTCGACCACGCTTCTTCGACGAACGCAGCGTGTGATCAAAAAGAGGAGAAATCAGATAGCAGGTTTGCAGCGGGTTTCTTCCCGTCGTCATCCTCTTCCCAGTTCTTCGGATTTAATAGCCTGACGCGTAGTTCGGAAAGAAATTCTGCTAGTGCCGCAAGAGAGGGAGCAAAATACGATGAGACGTTTTTCCTCACAAGCGCCGGGGACTCCGCAGGTGCAACACAGATCCCCCAACTTCACTCGGGCATGGGGGTCATGGGTGGTCAGCACTCGCTTTTTTACGGCGCGTCGCATCAGAGGAGGCGCGACGAGGAGAATCGAAATGGCGTGAACTATCGATACCGCCGCAAATGCAATACCCCGACTTTTGCGAGTGAGGCCCTTGCTGTTTTGAAGGATTTTCTCCTCTACCAACGACGCCTTGGAGAAGCACAACGACCTCCAGGTCAAGACATAACCACTAGTAAAGCTGTCTCGTCCTCTTCGTCTTTACAACAGAGCCTTTCAGCACCTACAACGTCTTCGGATGTGGAGTCACCAGCGATGCAAGTAATGAACACTTTGGCCGCCAGCATCCTACTTCACGCGACCAACCGGGTGGAAGCGCATATGGTCCAACTAGAACTCGATGTCGCGCGTATAGCGGACGATGCTTTTTATCAGAAACGACTGGAACAACTACGGTCCATCCCTACTTCTGATTCCGTGGCCCTCGACGATGCGTGGTGTGAGAAAGAATCTTCTGCACATGGTGCGCAATACCGCCTTGTCCACGAAATTACCGCACTCGCTGCAAATGAGTATGGCCGGCAGTTTGTGGTAGTTTGACTGGAATGAATTTGCGTCATTCTCGGAGGACGAGCGGGAGTGTGCTTTTCCTTGGTCATGACAGCTCGTAGCATATATTTATATTCATAAATATATACTAGACTTGAGCGCCCGGTGGCACTCCTCCCACTAGAGTCCTTCACTCCCTTCACGGGCTCCCTCTGTTTCGGCGTGCTTCGGCTTCTCCGGCTCCTTCCCCGCCCGGCAACCGTCTGGCGGAGTTGGTCGGCGGGCCAAGAGTCGGGTCGGGGGCGGCGTGCTGACATTAAATAGACCTGGCTCGAAATCATTTGCCTGCAAGTTTCCTTTTCTTTTGTTAAGTTTGGCCTTCTTTGAGCGAAAGCCGAAGCTTTCGAGTTTGAAACTTTTACTATTCATTTTCTTTCGATAAAATTAAAGTTTTTGGATTTGAAATTTTTTACAATTTATTTTTTTTTCTTCGATAACGACAAAAACTCAGGATTCGAATCTTCAAGCTCAAAACTTTGAACCTTCGACGCTGCAGATTGGTGCGATTGGTGGCAAAACGTGCGCCGTCGGTGACATTGGGGGACATGATGACCTTCGGCGGCGTATTTGCGACGAAATTTTTTACAGTTGCTTCTCATTGATGAAATCAAAAAATTTCTTTGATTGTTAAACTCTTGAATTTTGAAAATTTCAAACTTGAAATTGGAAAGCCCAAGAATTACGTTGAAAGCTTCTGGCTTGACAGATTCTGTATATTGGGCTCTTCCTCCTCCAGTGAATGAACGCGCTAAGTACCAAATGAACGCGCTAAGTGCCAAAAGTTAAGTAGCAACGCATTGAAAACACACACAAGACAGAAACACTTTGGCTCTTTCCTTTTCAACAGGCGTTTTATGCATTTGAATAAACACCACCCAACCCAAGAGAACTTTTGGCACTTGTTAGCGTCAAAGTGTTTTGGTCTTGTGTGTGTTTTCAATGCGTTGCCACTTAAGTTCGTTTTTCTTTTAAACACTTAATTACTCAACTAAATCACTCCAAGGCTTTGGCTTTTCTTATGGCTCAACTCTCAACAGATCGCCAGCAAACAACTCAAACAGATTGGCGCAGTGTGGATTTCTCTCATATCTGCCTAAATATTTGCCATGCCATGGCTCACGCGTTCGCGAGTTCTTGAGTTCTTGAATTTGTTTGTTCTTGAGTAGGTGGGTTCTTGGGTTCATGGGCTCTTGCAGTGTTTGTGGTTCAAGTGTTTTTGGTTCAAGTGCTTTGGTCCAAGTGTTTTCGGTTCAAGTGTTTTTGGATCAGGTGCGTCTGGTTCGGAGGTTGGGAGGGACGTTGTTGATTGTTTTTAGCTCTTTTATATGAATAGACCAACTTAGCTCAGTGCAGTTTCCAATATTTTGGATCTCCCGTGAGCTCTGCGTCTTTCAGTTGGCTTTTTCATTTTCGGCCGATTCGATGGGAACAGGAAGGCAGCCTGCCGCGTAATGTGCTACTCGATCTTTTTGCGACTGACGCAGATCACCTTTGCGGCGGAGGTGAGCCAGAACATTTGAACCATGCGAACAAAGGAAGTGCTGTTCAGCTATACGGTGACTTCGAGCGGAGGTTTTCGCATTTTTATTCTCTGATTCTTATTTGGGATTTACTCTTGTTTCTGGTCACTTCTATGGACTTCAATCACAATGCCTCTTCGATTAATGGACATGGAGCCGAGTCCTCTTCCAGAAATGGGCCTATCTCGGTCTCCGATGCTGATGTTTCGGAAAATTTGCTGTGTCTGGCGCAGAGTCTCTGTTGTTTTTGCGTCGATGTGCGCCGAGCGCCTCTGTTTGTGCAGGAGGCGGCACTTTTTTACCTGAAGCGGCTCCTCGACGTCATGGAGCAGCGCTCCGAACTACGAAAAGTTGCCAATCATAGTACCTCGGGGCAAGAAAAATGTTATCTTGATCGAGATGCGGGGCATGATCATCAAGCGAAGATGTTGAGCAAAACCTCAGCAAGAAAGCTCATATCAGAGGACGATCCTAGTAATCCTAGGAACGAAACAGCAGGGCCACTCGAAATCGATTCGCTCCCGTGCTTTGGATCTCCAGAACATTACGCGCACACTCCAGCGTGGCAGAGTGCACGAACGTATGGACATTCGGATGTGGAGGACGGAAGCGCTGGTGTCACATCCCTGTGGGACGAGGTTTCCTCAAAAACTTGTTCAGCTTCTTCGATAACCAATCTAAATTCTGCACGCGCCAGCTTCGCGGTGGACCGGGACACTAAAGAAGATCTTCAAGAACAAACTGAGCAGGAGAGCCGTACTGCAGTGCCGTCACCCATGTTGATGTCGTCTTTTGCCTCTCGTTTCTGGTCCACTCTGTCGCAGTTTCATTGGGTCAATGAAGTCCGTGCTAGTCGGTCGGTGCGAGATCTTTTCTGGCGAAACAGGAGCGACGAAGACATGACGCGACTGAGGTTTTCCTTGCGAAATACACGCGCGACTTTACAGGATGCTAAAGTCGCTGTCGGGAGGGAGTTACAGATTCAGCAGCTGAAGGTGGAACGCGATGTCCAAGCGTTTTTCGGCATGGAAGAATGGCGAAAACTGAGAGATAAAGACCAGGAGGATGTCGCCTTTTCACCTAGTAGCAAACACCCGGCAAAAATTGCAGGACCTGTCGTGGATGCAGATCAGTGTGGTCCGGATCATAGAGAACATCAAGGGGACCATTTCGAAGACTCTCCTGCAGGAGCGAAGCGAAATCCTTCATCGAAACAAGGTCAAAGCTCTGTTGGTCCTCGAGGTAGCATTTCTGGAGGACGTGTCGGGAGTAAGACAGGTTCGCCAGAAATAAATGTTGATAGAACTACAGACTTTACCTCCACTTCTCATCAACGAGGTGTGAGTTGTCGCGAGGAGTTCGATTGTGGCGTCCGGCGAGCGCGCAATGCAGCGGCGGGCGGACTCGTGATGCCGCCTGTTCCGGACTTTAGAGTACCATGGCGCATGGAGGACGTTGTGCGCCTGGCCAAAAAGGAGGTTGAACGCGAGCAGGCGCGCAGCGAAGAACTTCGACACGTGGAATTACAAGATGGTGCTAAAAATTGCTTACGGTTGCAGGAGGGGGCGCCAGGAGAAGATTCTGCGATTGAAAAACGCGAACATGAGGATGAGAAGAGTCAGAAAGAGGCACTTGAATATGTTGCATGGTTTTTGGCCCTTCACGAAGCGCTTGAGCGAAAAAGCAGACATCTAGGTCTACAGGATTCTGTCCTTGCAGTTGAAGACACGCGTGTAGAAACCTTCCCTCGCCTCACACCAGGTTGCGCAACTAGTCCTAAAGGCGTAGAAGATAGTGGGGGTGTGAAGCCACATGCGAGTACGAGTGTCGCTGCATTGATACAGAAAATAATGGGGACAATCACAGTTGCTCGGCATGAGCCCAGTGAGAGCGCAGAGGGACGGAGGAGAGCGCGAGATCGCAAGGCTTGGCGACGCCTGAACAAACAGCGCGAGGAAGCCAAGTTCAGAGCTGAGTCACAGGCGAAAGATGAAGAGCACAAGAGCCGTGCATCCTCTGCTATTCTTGAGGATGACGGCACTAGCAAGAACAGTCGTAGACGAAGTTCCCTACGCGCGTCTGTCGAATGCCACAGTTGCCGGGGAAGCAGCGCCTCACAGAGCAGTCGCAGAGGGTCCTCCCCAGTCAACAGCTTGAGCCTCACGCAGGGAGGCCGCGGCGCACTGCGCCATTTGGCCAAGCGCATCGCTGGGGGTCGGAAAAGCCTCGCAAAAGGACGACAATTGCGCAACTTCGGATCGCTGCTGCCGTCTTGCCCCGGATCAGCGTTCTCCGCTGCGCCGAGCAGCACGCCGCCGCATGCGTCTGTGTCGTTTTCACCGCTCCAGGCAATCTTTGGGAACGAAAGGAATTCCTTACTTGGGGTATCCTCTAGTGCTATCATGTCGCCAGGTCACGAAAATGAGGAGCACCAGAAGAACGGCCCAGTTGCTAAAGCGGCTACCGAGGGTGCTGAGCCACCGCGTCGGTCGACTTTGTTTCGACGGGATAGCCAATTGTTTACGATTCCAACAAACTTTCGGCCCGTAGCCGCACGCATGCGTCCGAGCGACATCTGTGAAGGCTCCAGCGGCTGTGAATCCGCAGGCACCGACTCGTCTGAAGCTAGCGATGACGGTGGGCTGTCATCGGGCGACTGCTCAACGACAGGCGAGGAAGAAAAAACTGGAACCTGTAGTTCTTCAAAGGAAGGAGCAGGTGCAGAGGTTCCCGTGGCAGGTTCCAGGCGCACCGTTGCTGATCTTGCGCCAGGTGCATTATCGTCTTGCGCGGCTAGTGCACCTTCTGGTATCAATGACGCTGCGAAGCGACGCGGGAGCGCAGCAGCAGCGCGCCGTCGTCGATCGTCCGTGGCTCCGCCACCAGGATCTTCTTCAAAAGGGCAAAGTATTGTCACGACGAGCGTGCAGCGAATCGTCCCAGACTACGTGGACCCATTTTTGCCTCCAAGGGACGTCGTTACGGCATCTTCTATCGGAAGTCATGCTTCGTGGCAGCCGCGCTTTTCTGTCGGATTCGAAACAACGAAAGCGCCGTCCGGTGGTGCCGAAATAACGGTTGGACCCCTTTCGGACCGTACGAAGGCAGAGGAGCAGAACTCGGTGATAGCGCAAGAGGAGCTGGCACTTTCTCCGTTAAATGCTGGCGAATCCTTTGAGAGTGCTGCAGCGCATCATCCTTCCATAATATCGAGGAAGACCCAGCAGCGTCAGAAAAGAGTCACAGCCTTGCAGCAGGACCGCGCCGTCGTCTCTGTGAATGCAATGCCAGACCACGTTGTTCATGTCGTTGTAGACACTGCAACTTCCGATATATTAAACGTTGCTGTCGACCACCGCAATACATTCACGGGCCTGTCGGCTCCCGCACCACCCAATTTTTCGCGTCTTCGTCGGGGAAGCGATCACATGATATTCGAAGACGCACCCAAAGGGGCAGCATGCCAGCACGAGCAGAAGTTTTCCGCGTTTGGTCACCAGATCATCGAGGACGGCTCCCGGAGAAATGCGCGAGCACTGCTGCCGCCAACGATGGCGAGAACCGGTGCTCGGCCCTTTGCAACACGGCCAGGACGCGTGCTAGCACTGCAGCAGCCGGCGGCTGGGTCGGGGACCGGTCTTGCAAGCAGTTCCACAAAAGTGAGAGCTCGCGATCTTGTAGTTTCTGCAGCTTCTAGTGACAGCGCTAGGACAGGACCAAGTGCGAGGCAGCAGCGAGTACAACTCAGCGCTGAGGAGGAACAACAAGCGGCGGATCTCAAGGCAGCATTGCGCATTGGGCCAGCGCTACAGCCACGACGACGGAAGTCGGTGTTTGCCCGTGGGGCTCCAGTAACCGAAGCTATGTGCATGAGCTTGCGATCAAGCTTTGCGGACACTGCCGCAAAGGGCATCCTCGGACATCCGGTTCCTGGCGTAAATCTTAACGTGCTTGTGCCTCAACCTGTTGCGAATAAGCTTGAAGTGGGCTATGCTGACTTCGGCGGTGAATCTGTATTGAAAGAACACGTGCTGTCTGAGATTGTGAATGCATCTTACGGGGCGGGCATCTGGCAGGACCCTGCCTCTACTGAGGCGGATCCCACTGCAGCAACAATGGACGGGGTTCATCCTACAATGTCTCGCTGTAGCAGCAAAAATATTACGGCATCGTTGGTGGCACCTACAAGTACGACCCGTTCACTGTCGTTGGCACAGGTATCGAAGCAAGTTGCACGTGAGAAATCGAAAATCTCTCCGCTGTACGAAGAATGGGCGCACATGATGATGCAAGAAACAGTGACAAGGATCAACGAAAGGCAGGCCCAGCAAAAAAGAAAACCACGGCAAGTAGAGCGCCAAGAAGAACCCTCTTCTAGTGATCGCGATAGGCCGAAGATCGCTGATGCAACAAGACCAGAGCCCTTTGTTATTGTAGAAGTTGCTTCAACATCAAAGGCAAATGTTGCAGTACTTGGTTCCTCTGAAGAGCAGCGAGATCATGAAGTCCACTCTCCCGAGATCAGAGTGCTGCAAAAGGAATTTCCCCCTAGTCCGTCTGCTCTAGCACGAGCAGAGAAGAATGAGCGGCGCTTGAAGTTTCTTCAGGGTTTCTCACGTCCTGAACTGCGTAAACTGGAGGAAGATGCACGACTCTCGCATTTGCTCGAGAAAACCGGAGACAGTCCTGTAATTCCTTCTAGTACTAGGATTGGAGCAGAGGGCAAGAAACGAAACTCTTGTTCCGGAGAAGACTTCGAAGATTCTAATGTCGATCTTGGCAGATGTGCAGAAACATTTCTTAAGGCGGATAAGAAAAGTCACGCCCGTCCGATGGCTATAACAGGAATCACAAAAAGCAGTTTGCCGGTGGCGGCTGATCTTGCGGAAAAGCCGTCAATTGCTGAGAAGCATGGAAATACGGGCTACGATGCTGGTCGAATGTCACAGTCACGTCAAACACAACTACACCATGATGCAGAACGACAAGGGGCGCGGCTAATGAAGGACCTGTTGTCGGCAAATCCACGGCTAGGCAATTCCGCTGGAGCTCCATCCACTGATGAGCTTGAGCTGTCCACTGTAAGGGAGCGAAATGTACCAGCTCCGTTGACGACTGCCGCATTGGCCGATGCACCGAGTGGACCGGTCTCAGCCACGTCCTCGCCGGCTGTGACAGACAGGGGCACAGCAGCTGAGCGATCTTTTTTGTTCGGTGGCAACAACGATACCGAGACCGACGAGTCGATGAGCCTGCTTTTGAACAGCCCGAAATGATGCTGCTTTGAAACTTGGAGAAAAAGTTATGATCTGAATGAACATATAACCGATTTGATAGGAAATCTGTTTCGTTGTATTTGTACCGCAAACTCATTTTGTAAAAAAATTTCGTTGTTGTATAGAAACATCCAGTTACTACTAGATGAATTCTCGTGGTAGTGACATGATCATGTGGACGAAATGATGTTCGTATTTCCTTTGATTTGAGTTTCTCATTGATGAATTTTGTTTCAGTTTTCAAATCATGATTTCGCACAAGTTCCGCACATCATTGGAAGTACAAGTCCTGCTTTTGTATGGAACAATAGTTTGAGTCCTTTTGGAAGTCGCGAAGTATACTGCAAGTAATCCGCAGTGCGGACAAATCTGTATTACTACAAATAGTGAGTGAAGTCTGCATATTGCCGTCCGCGATGCTCTTTGTGCCGCTTGCTGTTTCTGCAAAGTTTTGATTTCGCATTCGTTGTACTTGTATGCAATAGATAGCGGAATGGTTTGAAGAAAATGAACTCTCGACGAGTCCCTGAAGAAATGCTGGCGAGATGGACTTGTCCGGCCTCACTAGCAAGGTCGAACTGCGCAAGAAAACATGGACATGGTCTTGTGTATTCTAAACACTACATATCTGTATCAAGAGGGAGATGAGGAATTCTGTCAATTATCCGCACTCTCTGTGCGCCAATCGAGACATGCATCTCAACGAAACTAATGCTGAGCGATCTTTCGGCAAACTTCTGCACAAAGATTCTCGTCTGATTTTGCGGGAAATCTGTAGACAAGAGAGACAGAGAGGCGACAAAGTATGAAGTCCTTGTTGCAAAGGGAATATCCAATATCGCAGTCTAAAAAAAGTCGGCATCAATTGAGAGAGCGCATTTCATATGTTGTTTGTAGAGATGAGAATATATCTGGAGCAAGAGTTAGCACTTTTACAGTTGTTGAGAGAGGTGTGACGCGTTTTTTATTCGGTGTTGTCTCCTACTTTATTAATCCTTCTAGAATTTTCTCTATCTCCCATTCTGTCGTACAGGCTCTATTCTTGAATAGATACAGACTTCTTATGTTGTCGAATACGTTTACAGTGTCTCTTCTACTTCGCTATTCTCTCAGTGACTTAAAGAAACACGCTTCAAACCTATATTCTATTATCGATCCAGACTCAAGCTTCTTACAATCAAAGAGTCGCGTCTAGCCAAGAGAAAATAGTCCGTGCATCGTTGTCTGTTCAACAGACCGATCATTCCTTCATATCGTCGTAACGTGGGAATCGGATAGTGTGTAGTCAGTGACTACTTTCATTTCTAAACGACACGAAAATTGATTTTTGTGAAACAATGATTTTTTTCCATTTACTCTCGAATTGATTACCGAATGTGAAGTACTTAGTTTCAAAGTATCTCAATTCTGATGAACCAAGAAGAAATCGTGACGTTTTGATTCAAAGATACCAAAAATATGTAATGGTCTAAAGACAATAACTACTTCCTAAGAGCTGCACTAGAGTTATTTCGAAAAATTTGTCCTCGTTGGTTCTTCGTGGAGGTGCTAGTTCATCATCTTTGCTCGGAACCCTGCAGTCAAGAGCAACAAGACACAAGCAGAGAAAATCATGGGTCAGATTGACGCTTGTTCGGTTGCTAGTACCCCACGTGGGGTGATGGCAATGACAGCACCAGGAGGTTTCTTTTCCCGTGGCGGCTTTGGCGGAACTCCGATGTCGACGCCGCGTGGTGGGTCCGGTGGAGGCATGATGACTCCACGTGGTTGCGGTTCGCCCACTGGTACAATGTCGCTGCAGCCGGGTACGCCGCGCGTGTTCAACAGCATGGCGACACCGAAGACGGGCATGCTGCGCTTGCCCATTTGTTCGTCCACTGGTTTCAACTTTTACGGCATGTTGTCGCGGCAGTGGCAGTCGGTGTCGCCGCGTGGGAAAATGGTCATGCTCGAGGAGAAGGAGGTGGAGGAGCAAGTGGAGGAGGCGGAGTGGGACCTGATGCGGAAGAAGCTGCATGTGCGGATCACCGGCATCGTGGAGGAAGGAGAGCCGGAGGAGTGGCTCGAATTCGTGATGCCTAAGACGCGTGGCGCCACAGATCCAGTTCCGGAGTTGGTCATGCGCACCGAGCCTCAGCACAATATTTCCATTTTCGAAGAGCGTTTGGGCGTGATCGACCACCGTTTTGTCCCGGTGCGCGACCGCAGCGACCTGGTGCGCTACACCTTCCAAGGGGCGGACCGCATTATTGAACAGTACAACTATGTGCGAGACCAGCTTTGCCCGAGCAGTGTGATCACCACGCCTACCTATGTTGTCTTTCACGCCTTGTTGGAACGTGTGCGCGACGAGGAGACGGGCAAGGAGCCGGATGAGAAGGGCATTTTGGAGCAGTACAACAAGGAATTGAAAAGTGGCGCCGACATTTACGTCATGGAAGGCTTCTTCTGTGCGAAGCAACCGCACTGGGAGGCGCCACCGCCGCCGGGTGAGTTGCCGAAGTCTCCTCGGGCCCTCAAGGCGCGCACCGCGCACTTGTACGACGTCAACCCTGAGAGGAAACCCGTGATCCGAGTGATTATCGACCGCACCTTGAATGGCTGCGTCCACGCGGAAGTGAGGGCCTATCTTCCACCCCGCGGCACCATGGGAAAAACTAAGAATATTTTACTGCAGCGCAGAAGCTACAACATCAACACCAAGAAATACATTTTCAAAGGCGACGCTTTGCCGAATCTGCGAAAAACAAAGAAAATAACCTACGAAACGCCTCAGAAAAGCAACGTTGTGTGCACCTTCATCGACGAACGGGATTGGGACCGGGTTCAGTGGGTTATGGTCTACCTCTTTCCCTACGATGACGACAAACTGCACAAGCGGATGTGTGGTAAAATGAATACACCCTGTGCATAAGTGTAAGAAAATATACTCATATGCATGGTTCGTCTACCTCTGCGTGTGCTAGTTTCTGATTCATAGAGTTTCGCTGCTATCTATATCAATGTCTTTTGACAGAGGCAAACTCTTCAAAGTTTTCCGCTCTACTTACCATTCGAAAATCCATTTTTTCAGATTTCTGGGAAGGAAAGTGGTGCCCGCAGGAAAAGCTAGCTGAATATTTTTGGAAAGATCAGATACAAGAATTGACGAGGGGTGTCACCAGGCGCGATAAGGTTTTCTGCGAACAGATCACGGGCAGATGGAAGCCAACGAACACTAGCCGGAAAAGTAATTGTTGATTGAAATTGTGATTTGGATCGATGAAGTTGTGGTTCAGTGTGTGGTTGTTAGTTAAGTACTTTCTTAGTAAGTTTCCTGCAGCAGTGCCAGTCGAATGCTTTCGTCTACCTCACTGGTTTTTTTTGTCGATATCTTCAATCTATCATGCTTTTCAGCTTCCGAAGCACCGACGCCGGTTGGCGGTAAAAGCGGCGCTTCTGCAGCTGCAGGGCTGAAACAAGCAATGCAAGCGAGGATCGCGGAAAACAGAGCCCAGAAGGTGATAAAGGAAGTCGACGAGAACCCAGACGCTATTCCCGAGAACGCGGTTGCCCGGATGCCTCAGGAAGGGGCCCCGAAGAAGGCAGGCGGACTTCTAGGGAAACTCGGGAAAATGTCATTGGTCGACCGACTCCGAACCGCAGTCAAAAAAGCCGTAGCCGAAAGATCACTAGTTTTCAAGTTTCCGGCGTTTCCAAGAACAAACCAAGACCAGGATCTCAGCACCATAGCTGAATATATCATGCGCTCATCAGACGATGCTGTGCTCGAGGTGGTGGCCGAGCACAAGTAGCGCGACGAAAATTTTATTGTGCATCCATGCAGCCAAATCTTACTTTGGCTCAGAGGGGACAAACACCAGCTGGCATACGACGACATGTTTCCTATTTTTTTCTATGTATGCCTTGTAGTTTATTTGCCATTGAACATTGCGAGTCTACTCAGGGAGGAAAATTCATGTCCTCCTTCTGACTAATCTGACGATAATTATTTAATAATAACCATTCTAACGATAATTAATGAGAGCGTTTCGCTCAAGTCACAACATCTATTTTGAGAGCAGTTTTTGAATTTCGAACATTTGATTGACAGGTTGATTGTGGAAATAAACGCCATCATGATGTAAAATATATCGGATGCCAAAATCATTATATATAGCTACCAGCATATCCCTCTACATATTTTCCCTATTTCATAAAATCTCTCCTACAAGTACAACTTGTTTGCAGGAAGTAGATAAACATATCTTGTACCTAAAATATGCGGGTGTGGGTGTGTATCCATTCGTTCGGAATCATCTCTTTGGTGCTTACTTTCCAAGAACATACTAGTACTTAGTTACAACTACATCAGAGGCACCAGAGACGATGAACATTTAAGTGCGATTTGGGACTCACTCTTGAATTCTCGGGTGCAACAGAGCATGTCCAATTTGTCATTATCTTCTCATATTCACAAGCATACGCTTCGACAGCGGTGCAGTTCTATTGTGTTCCTTGTCAACATCAGTGGCGTCGAATACTCGGTGAGTGCATTCGGTGTGTGTTCACGTACTAGAGACGAAGTCGATAGTTTGACGCTTCTATCGGGTTGATCTCTCGTTTCACACTTCTAATCCTCTGGTTCTGGCATTAACATGATTGAGCGCTGAAGTTGACTCGGACAGAGAGAAGATGTTGCCTCTGTGCCTCTTAAGTCTTGTCGGATCTCTGTTTTCGGTGGCGTCGGCGAGACTTGCGAACGGTATGCGTGAGTTCGAAGATCGGATGCGCCCCAAGACGTATTGAATTTTCTATGTTTTATAGGGGGCCCCATTTTCTTTGTAGAATCAAGAGCGTTCTGCCATGAAGTCAAAGTAGCACAGCGCCCCAGGAGAGGCCCTGTCGTTCAGCTGGCATTCTGAAGTGGCATTCTAGAACTTCGTCGTCGCTGTGCAGTTAGTTCGAGGATCAGGATGTTTTTTTGTGAGTACTTTGCTGAAAAGTTGATTGTGGACTTTCTTTGACAAATATGTCAATCTTCGTAACAACTCAGCACCGTTACCTTTATCAAGAGAGATGACGGCAGTAAGAATCGCGGGCCGACACGGAAAGTTATGTCGCGCTTCCTCCTGGCGCGGAAGGCTTCTGACAGCCACGTCGGCGTCAGTTTTTGTCGGAAATGGCAGCACACTCATAGTTTGTCATGCGTTACAGAGGCAACGTATGCTTCGACGCGAAACTGCGAGTATTCCAGCAGAAGCGGAGCAGCCAAAAAGGGAGCGAGTCACCGAAGATGACGCTTCGAGAAATTCGGACGACGCGGCGCAGACCGCACATGCAGCAGAAGGTACGACGAAAAACAGCATATTACCACATCATGACCAGCAGCCCGGAGAACGCGACTTTAGAGCCTCATTTATTGAGGGCAGCCAACAGGAGGAGGCGTCGCCTTCAGCCAATGAGCCTTGGACCGATGCTGGCGGAAGAATAAACGAAGAGAATAGCAGGCCTTCTAGTAGAACTAGGACTAGTGGTTTCATTAGCAATAGCGGTTCCACGAGAACATCTTCAGTTTCTCATGCTCCTGCTCACCCTGGTCACGACGAGCAAGTGGTACTCGATCGACAAGCCCTAGCACACGCCACAGGTGGCTCCTCTTTTGTTGCCGGGTACGTAGAGAAAGCGGCAGGAGTAGGATCCGCACCTAAAGAAGAAAACGGAGAGACGAAAGGCGAAGATGACAAGGCTGCTTTGAAGAAGGCCGCGGAAGAAAATGCAGCTCAAGTTCTCGGCGTGGCGAATGGTTTGTTCGATACGTTGAAGAAGACCCTGGACAATCTTCACCAGATTCTTAGAATCGCCGAGAACTCAGTTATCTCTGAGGTCTTTTTCTTTTTGTGACTGTCCACTTTGACTGTGTTTCAAATCTGTGCTTCTGTAATTTCAAGACAAACATATTTATTATGAACGAGCCACCTCTAAGATCTATGCATGTTTATGTAGTTTTTTTTAGCTGCAGTGAGTCTTCATAGTTGGTGTGTATGTAATAATATATTGCTTGGGGCTTGCTTTATTGATAGAAGAAAATCCCAAGTAGGATTATGTTTTGGTGTCTATATTTTTCCTTCAGGACGGTGACGGCCTGAAAGCGGTTCCGGAGATTGGACAAGCGCTTCAAGGCGGCGGAGTAGCAGAAAAAGCAGCCAACAATGTGAATCTGGCCAAGGAGATCAACGAACTGAAACGTAAACAGTATGCGGAGATGAAAAAGGCCCAAAGAAAAAGGATCAAGGATCTCCCGGTGAAGGTAGAAATAAGAACAACATCAAACGGTGAGGTTGTCAGTGTACAACCTGCACCTCGACCTGCGGAGGGGAAGAAGAGTCCTGCTGCGGACCAGGGTGACAACATGATAAATGAGGATGATGACGAGGAGGATAGCGATCGGAGGAGTGGTCAGGAGGGTAGTGAAAACGTGCACGGTAGTGAAAATGACGCTTCTAACGATAATCGAGCAAGTGGTGCAAAAGGGTCTAATGACACTGAGACAGCCGAAGAGGAAGAACCCGCCGACTTGAGCCCAGGCTCACCTGCTGACAATAAGGAGAGCAGCGCATCCGACAGCGAGGAAGAACCAACGCGTCCTACAACAAGTGATGCGGTCAGGAGTCCTCCCGGAAGCGCTTCCACTGGGGCGGGCGCGCCCGTACCAGCGGCTACCGACGTGACGGTGGATGAAGATTCACCGCGGGGTAAAGCTGTAGATGTAGTAACCAACCTAGACGAAGAGCCATCGCCATCCAATGGTAATAGATATACGGAATCAACGGCCGCCGATAACAGTTGGAATGTATTCACGGATTATTATGGGGGAGAAAAGCATGAGTGGGACCGCAGCTGAATGAATGAGAAGCAGATACTTGGAATTAAAGACCCTTTTCGATCCTTGTGAAAAATACCCCATAATTATGACTGCGATAAATAGCTGGACTATCTTGGCCTTGGCGATAGGTACCTGATGCACCCCCACTTCGAAGGTGTCGTTACTCCTAATGGCGCGTGGTCCTCAAAAATAATATCGTTCTTGAGAACGCGACATCAGGGTTGCTGTCTTTGTAAAAAAATGTCCCCATTCAAAGGTGAAGCCTCTTCATTTGTTCACTGACAGATGCACATTGTGAGATGCGGCCATGAAGTAAAGAGGTCCGCTCTATTTGGCACATCTGTGGATCGTTGAAGTCAAAGCAAAGACTGTTGATGTGAACTACAAGAAAGTCTGGTCACGCTGCGAAGCATAGGTCGGTTTAATATGCAGATCAGCATGTTGTCCTATGTATCCCTAGACAGTCTGTGTATCCAGTTTTAGTTTTCCTAGAAGCTGCTCCTTCCTTCCGGTAAATTCACAATTTCAAGAATAATCATATTAACATACATAGCCAGTAGGCAGTCTGCACTGAACTTCGTGCGAGATCTGTTATATTCTAGACATCATTGTATTTTTACTATTTGTTTGATGGCCCTTGAGGCAGTCTGCACTGTACTTTGTGCCCAAAAAAATCTGTTTTGAGTGATGAGATAATCCCTAGTGGTCCTTCGGGAACGCCAGAGGGGTTAGCGAATTTCCTTGTTCTGTCTTGAGTGCTTCGAGTTGTTTATATTAAATTAGATTTACAAACTTGAGCGTCGTTATTTCTAGCGGAGGTGTTGGCCCTTGGTGAGGAAGGAGGGCGGAACTACTTCGATATACAAACTTGGGCGTCGCTATACTTCTTTGAGATGCGTAGACTTATGCAACGTAATTGAAAGGGGGAGAGCGTCCCATCGCTCTCCCTCACCGATTTTTTATCTCCCGCCCGGGTGTGGCTATCAGGCATAAGGTAGCCCCTTTGGTCGGAGTCAGCCCTCCAATTTTTTGCTTTTTGTTTTTTCTCTCATTGGCTGCATAGCGGGAGGAGCCGGCCACAAGAAGAAAATGATGAATGAAGATGAAGAAAAACCTTAAGCAACTAGTAGAGTTTAGTGCTCCTTCACCAATTTCACTAACATGCATGTTCTTACTTAGTGAAAAACATTCCTCTAGTTCGCATCAGCAATCAGGTGCCGCGCAGCTCCACCTTGGGCCAAAAATATTTAAATTGATTAAGCGGACAGCGCTCCGCCGCCCAGTCCGTCGTAGCATTCACAAAAAGCGCGTAATGGGGAGACGGGCAACGCCCCGGGTGGCAGGTACTAGGTGTGTAATTTTCCCTGCCTTTGCTCCTAGGCTTGACCATCTTGGAATCGTAGGGGCAGTAGCGTAGTTTGTTAAGGAGATTAAGAACTCCCCCCTACGCCGGTAGCTACGCGGAAAAGACGCCGGTAGGTTTTGATTTATCGGAACTCGCTTGCAAAATACGCAGGTAGGTTTTGACTTATCGGAACTCGCTCGCACTACAAAAAAAAAAAAAAGCGAGATAAATTGTATTGTATTGCATTGTAGTCGGATCGGAATGGCGTCTGCTTTCTCAAGTGCTGCGCTTGCCGGTTGGCGGCAGCGCATCGAGTTCTCTCTGCGAGAGGCGAAGAAAGTTCGCGGTGGTGCATTTGTGCAATTTGCTACAGTAGATTCCGATGGCAGGCCTCGATGTCGTACGGTGGTGTTTCGAGGTTTCGAAAACGTACCAGCGAATGCATCTGGCGCAATGCTGCTTCCTCCTCACAGCAACGCGTCAGGAGTCGCGACGGCGGTGAGTTCATCGCAACCCGGCTCAGACCCAGACGTTGGTTCCGCCGAACCCAGCATGGTGGAGGTTTTGAAGATTGTAACGGACCGCCGGTCCGAGAAAGTGGGTCACTTGTTAAACAGTCGCTTTGCCGAGTTGTTGTGGTGGTTTCCACAGACGAATGAACAGTATCGCATTTCGGGAGTCTGCACACTCTCAGGGGGCGGGTGCCCGCATCTTGGTGACATAGTGCTGAATAACTGGCGTAGCCTGTCCGATGCGACACGGGAACAATTTTTCTGGTCATCTCCAGGACAACCGTATGCTAGTGCCCCGTATAGCAAAGCTCGAAAATACGACTTCAACAAGCATTAAGGGGGTACCTTTTACTCAGTATGTTGGTGTCCGGAGTAAAAGCCATGAGAAACCCGCTTATATTACACATAAGGTCAATTTTCGAATGGGTTTCCCAGGCGTTCACTCGGGTCACACCATGATCATGAGAAGCTTACTATCTCTAAGATAAGCCGAAGATTTCTGAGGAGGCCGCACCAGGAAACCACGTTGAGAAACCAACCGCAGAGACGGCAACACCTAGTGCTCCCGCTCAGCAACAAAAAACTGAAGAAGCTACACCAAAATGCGAAGTAGAAGTAGTTGACGCACCAGCCGCGAAAGAACTAGCAGTTCCAAAGGGCGGTCGTGATCCCGAAACGGGCAAAGTTTTACCGCCAAGCGACAATTTTCTGCTTCTGTGTCTCTGGCCGCAGGAGGTCAAATACCTACGGCTAGGCGATAATTTCGCAACCTATGAGAAGACTACTGATGCTCAGGGCCTGCAATGGGCTCCGCCACTACGCGTGAATCCCTAGGAACCTATCTATTCTAAATGTTCTGATTATAGTTGAGAATCAGAATGAATTTTTTCAATAATAACGCAGATGATGAAATGAATAAGCATCGAAGCTTGTAGCTCGCTACTGGACTGGTCGTCAAGGATAGAAGTTGCTGACTACTTCTACATTGGTCAATGCCCTACCTTATTCAACGTCGCAAAAAGAGCGAGTAAAAAGAAGTCCTTCCAGCTGAACAAGATGAAGATAGTTCCATCTGTGCAGTGTCGTGATATGTCATCATCAGATCAAGATCTGTAACTGAGCTGGCACTATGAGTCTGACGTTACATCAACATTATAAGTGAGTCTGTCTGTCCTTATGCGTTCTGTAAGCTCGAGCGAAGCAAGAGTGGTGGTAAAAGTAATCTCTGTACTCGATAGTCTGTCAGAGTTGATGACATGGAGAGATTCCAAAAGTATACCCCTTCTTTATCATGATTAATGGACTCCTCAAGTAGAACCTTTGAAATTTCGTCCTCTGTGTACGTGTGTCAGGTTCGTTTGACTCGAATTATCACCTAACCACTCCATCCTATCCTGAAAAAGTCGACTCCCTTTTCTTGGGGTGTGTTTTTACAAAGACCCTAAGTAAGTAGATGCAAAGTCATAGACGACATCATTTCTAGGTATTTACAACGAAGGAATTTCATATATTAATTGAGTTCTATAATTTGGGTGAACTATCAGCTCTGGTCGTTCTTTTTCTGGATTCTCTTCCTCATTTGCCAAAATCATGAAGAGCTCTAGTGTGCATGGGCATGCGCACGGCCATAACCACCCGCACCGTGCGAACGTGCAGATGAGACAAGGTATGGGATCAGCGCACATGGAAGCTGCTCATGCGATGGCGGCTGCGGCGACCCACCACCAAGCAAACGAGGAGATGCCAACGCGAAAGGTGCAAGCCGAAGGTGAAGCGATGCAGGACCGCGGGATGCCGAAAGACGACCGGCTTCGCCAACCCTACGAATACGATCCTGCCGCAGCAAAAGGCAAGGATCAGCCGCCCAGTAGTCCAGTATCAGCAGCATCGACAATGCCTGGATCGTACTGCGCTTCTGATTGTTCTTTATTGCTTCTAGATAGGTATAGGTTTATGATGATCTAATTCGAAATTAAGGGCCAATCTTTAAAGACTTGAAGTAGAAATAGCAAATGACAAAGTAGTCACAGTCAGTAACCTGTGGTTCGCTGACTCGTATATCTAAGTGCGGTTTATTTTTCTCTAGGCTTCTCCTACGCACATCACATTACAGGTACACGAGTGCATCCTCGACGAGCTCTGGTCTGATGTCAAAAAAGAATAAGAAGGGAGGCGATGGCGAAGAGCCAGCGTCTTTGACGCAGAAGGTAAAGACACTTGTGTCAGAAAATAAGCACAATATTGCGATGGCAGCCGTGACCGCATTGTCGGTGGGTGCAGCTTATTACTACCTATCTGATGTCGGGGGTATGAGTTCGGCTGCGAAATCCTCAACTACATCGACCAGTTCATCTTCGACGTCAACGAAGAAAGAGACGAACACATATCACTTCAAAGTCACAGTCCCGACCGTCACGACAGAAGTGCGACACGGATGAGCTAGGTGGTTCGAAATGTCCATTTTTATGTGGTGCGAGTTCTCATTCTCGAATCAATCTGACCAATATCTAACGATTACTAGAAAGCATTTGAGTAAATTTGAATTTCTCTTTGGATGATGATGCCTACTTTGAGAACGGATTCTTGTTCAGTTTCTGAATCGAAAAAGATGGGTAAGTCCGGTCATAGTCTTATAGCATCGAGCGTAAACTACGATCTATCATTTTTTCTTCATACAATGTATCTACAAAGATTATTGGAACGAAGGCCGCTATCCTGCAGGTTCTTTACGTACCGAGCACTGAGATCAGAGAGAACGATCAGTAACATCATATTTGTACAGATTCCCTTTTGTATTTGTAAGTATCCTCATCACACCAGATTCTGGCCTCGACGTGATCCTCTTCTGTCAGGATAACAAATGACTGAAAATTTCCCTGACGCTGATTCTTTTTTCATATCGCTGGTACTTTCAGCATGACCGATGGTGAATTGAAACGCACATGAAACAATGAAGCGATGCATCCATCGCAGGCAATTCGCCATCAGCCAATGGGACGGCGTGCCATCAACTCGCTGTGCAGATAACTACAGTCCCCTTTTTGGAGCCTTCTTGCTAGCGCCATGCGCTTCTTCCTAGCAAGAGCCACTAAGTAGCCGAGTGGAATGAGAGCCATGACGAAAAGATACAGTGATTGAACCACTCTTGAGAGGAATAAGTCGTGCGACTGAGTGACCATGACACAGTCTTCCCTCTTTGACAGAGCGTGAGCAATTCGAAATAGAGAGGGAGCCTCATTTTCCAGGGGCGAGTTCTGCTCAACAGTAAAAATCAATGAATAACGTGAGTCAATTGTTGAGCTACTAGGACTAATTTCTTGGAACACGAAGAAATACGAGTATAATGCGAACCAATCAGATGAAAAAATGTCCGTCAAAGTTGCCTCGTCTCCATCAATGCTTCGCCGTGAGTCGACGAACGAACGAAAAAAAGACCTAGAGTGGTTGACTTCATCTCTACGAACGTCGAACAAGTCATCTTCGGACTGTCAACCGCTTGAGCTCACACAGGACAGCAGGACAACAGTTGGGAATACGAACAATGGGAGTGGTATCCAGCTACAAGGACAACAGCAATACAAGACTGCGGCGAAGAGCATCGACGAATCGCGAAGGTGCAATTTCTCCTTGCAGTCACGAAGAGAAAAGCGAGGGCAGCCTGGAGCAAGTCGATATGGAGACCTGTGAGCAAGAGAGCTTCAACTGAGACCTGCACGGACATGACCATCATCCGCCCTTCAACCCCTTGAAAGTGGGTACATCAACCTCTCAAATTTCAAGGTTGATAGAAAGTAGATACAACAATAATCCTAGTATACTTGTCATTTTTCCAAGATGTTTACGCTGGTATTCTCTCCTTGTTGACATTTTTCTTGATGAAGAAATATCAACACATTGGCTGCACTCTGAAGTTGTTCCACTGTGCAACTATTGTTGGGTAAATATCCGTGTCGACGGATGTGCATCAGATCATTACGAACAAACACAAAATCACCACGATGAATATTTACAGTAAGAAGAAACCACTACGCACGAGCAGCTTCCACTGGGTCTGGGTAGTACATCCTCATCATCAAGCTGAAAGCGCTGTGACGTGGTAGTAGTACCGTCACTATATATGTACCAGGGCTCAGGGCTGAAGCCCCCCGATCTAAATTTTTGAGGGGGGGGCTCTCGAGGGACTGCTGGGCGGGGAGGCCTCCAAGCGCCCACCTTCGCGTCCTCGCGGCTTCTTGTCTGTACCCTACTGAACCCAAACCCCTGAGGCCGTTCAAGCACCGACGGCCAGGGGTGGAAGGCTTCCGAAGGCGGCAAAGCTGGCACGGCTTGAGCCCCTTGCCGTGTTGCGTGTACCCTACAGACCTCCCATGCCGTGTTGCGTGTGCCTGTGCCCTAGAGACCTCCCGTGTGCGGGCTCTCCACTGGGGGAGTTTTTCTTGGGAGGTGGAAGGCCTGCGAGGGCAGCAGGTGGCAAGGCTTGACCCCTTTCGCCGTGCTGTATGTCTCCGACCGAACCCAGGCGGGCACGCCTTGCCCCTAATCCTCCTCGCCTTTGGTCCTCAGTCAACCCCCCGGGCGTTTGGTGGCGGCTAACGCTGCGACCAATTGGGGGGATGAGCGCCAAAGGGGCCAGGCCTCGCGACCGTGGCTGCCTTCGGCGGCCTTCCTCCCCCGGAGGCCGTCCCCCTGATAGGGTCCAAGAGGCGGGACGCCTGTGGGGTACACGCGGAGAGCCGCCAGGGGCCTGCGGCTCCGCCTTTTGAGGCCTTCGCTCGCCCCCGGGAGTCCTTCCATGTTACCAGCACCACCGCGGAAAAAAGGGCGCGCGGACGGCACAGCCGCTCCATCCACAGGGGGGGCCTCCCTCCTTGGTACATATATTTATAACAAGTGCGTGCCTTCTCCGCCCGATACTGTCAACGCGGCAGGGCTGCGGTATTAGCATCCACTTCGACCCACGTTTTTTTTCCTTCCGGTTCCGATACACCGGTCCTCTGAGAGGTAGGCACTTTTTCTTCGTTTTTTCCGGGTCAGTCTCCGAAAGCTGCTATTTTGTTGAGATGAAGACGACCGCAACTTTTATATTGCAAGATTCTTGTGCGAGCGGGATTTATGAGGAAGATCGGTGTGGTGAAGGCATACCTTATTTAAGTTTTTGCTAGCAATGCATGAGTGACGTCCCTCTGTAGTTGCGTATGATGTTGTCGTGTTTCATCAGATACGAATATCTTGACCAATATGCCGTCTGAGTATGTAATGAGTTAGGTGGACTTTGAGTTTGACATCTCTTCTCTCACTTCAGGTAGCATAAAATGACACCATCCAAACCTTCCTGAGTCCATCATGTATTTTCGCACATCCATTCTCATGATTTAGAGCTAGAGAGCGATGTGGTTGATACGTGTTATTGACTCCAGATTGAGAGGAAAGGAATTCCTAGAGTAGTTTCATTTCTCAAACTCCATACATTATATATAGTATATATGCCTTCGGGAGTAGATTTATAGTAGCATCAACATCAGCCTCAGCGAACTGCAGTGTGTGACACATCGATCTGAGAAAATAATCGTTCTGGCTCTCTCGCGTAAGTTTCTGTGCCTTCGTTCTCGGAGGTACTTGGTGTCGATGGCTGGTCGCGCTTTTGGGTAGAGCACGTTCAATTATTAGTGTGCAGATAATTACGCGACGACCACGGAGTGCAGCAATACAACGCGGTGCTTGTTCTACTTGCAACATCAACAACATAGTGTCCGTCTTGCTATAGACGTTGCAAGACCACACGGTAAACAAAGGAGGTGTGCAGTTGTGTGTCAATTTTTGAGATAGAGTACAGCCCCGAGGACGGCGCTCTCGACATACTCATTGGTTGTCTAGAACGGAAATGTTTTGCAGTGAGAGGTGGGTAGATTAATACTCTAGAACAATAGAAAATTTCCGAGCTATACTTACAACCACCAGGAGTACTTCCATCCTTGACGAAAGCTTGCGTATAACCTTGCCTGCGCTATGAAAGGTGATCATTGTGATCATTTTTTGCCGCCACTTAACTAGGAAGTTGTGTCCGGTTCTCGTAGCTTGGACGTGCTAATGGAGTTCGTTGAAATTTGTCTTTCTTGAATAATTGTGTGAAGATTTTCCTGTCATGACACGTAAGTCACCGGAAATTTAGACAGTTCTATTCAAAGTCGTAAGGTAGAATTTGTTACGAAAGCCAGAATAGCTATCAGTTTCTATGAGTTGTCAGTACATCAGGGTCAGTTAATAAATAGGTATCTGTGTATAATGAGATAGACCGAGGAAGACCAAAGGAAATGAAATTCTTTTAACAACGGAAAGAAAACACACGGAGCCTAGAACTCAGAGCTTCCGCACAGCAGTGGAAAGTCAGAATTGACAGAGAGGCCTTCACTTTTTTGATGTTTGTCCTTAGTTGAATGCGATTCGAGTCAATTTTGTTAACCTACATCCTGTCAAGTTGTCCTAAAAAGCATTGATTGTCCTACAATTTCTTTTTGATTGAGGAGAAGGTGTTAAAATAATCTAAATTAAAGTAGTTCTAAAGTTAAAGTATGTCTAATACGCGTATTAGGGCTACTTCGGCCCATGAGGTCCACTCTCCTCAGAGGAGAGCGGTGCTCTCAGTAGTTTTCCTAAACATCTTGCCCCCACTCATGGGTGCCAGCTCACTAGGGACAAGAGGAAAAACTACTCGTAGCCAAGGAATATTAAATAAGGCCATAACATCCCACATATCGGTAGCAGCTGTGTATAAGTAATAAATTAATATTACTTTTTTCGTCGATCATCATCTTGAAATGAATTACCCCAAGCAATCTGCAGGAAATTGAGAGACAAAAATGGTCACCTTTCGAAAACACAGTCAAGCATAGACATGATTGGTGCTGGTTTCTTCAGGCTTGTTTTGCTTACTTACATGGTTGTATCTACTGCTCGTTTCCAGTAAATAACGTTGGTAAAAAGTTTCTAGAGGGCATGTTCCTCATGGCTCGCGCAAAGAGGATAGAGGTCATGAGATCTCATGAGGCGGAAGCAGTAGCGTAGTTGTCTTCTCTACCCCTGGAGTGGGTACATTCATTCATTCACTCAAAATGAAAATTGTTTTCTAATACGTTAAATTTCTTATCTACAATTCTTATCTTCTAAGTAGTGCCTAAACTTACTTGTACTTTTTGCTTCAATTATATGCTGCTGAGTGATTTGCTTCTGAGAGATCAGTAATATCTCCCAAGTTGAAAAGCCAAATCAAATCTGGGCTGTACGTCATAGCTACACCTTCGTACTAGTCATTCCTGTCTTCAGACACGTCATACTTGCAAGTAGTGCTGTAAGGTAAGCTAGGATTAGTCATCGTTTTGACATTGTTTTTCTTCGGCGTATTGCGTGCTACAACAACTTAGTACATTTGATTTTCCTCGTTATCGTACGGCGGACCATGCGCATGCATTTTGGCAAATTTAATTTGTGTATCTATGGTAGTCTATTGACAACGCCAGGCCATTCTTTATCAACTATTATTTCATAATCATATTCTCGCACCTTCATTCATTTGCTTCACTTTCATGCTTCTAAGCCCTGCATTGAGGAACGACAACGACGCGGCCCTGTCCTCGGCCCTCCGAGCCGCCTGGGCAAGACTCGGGCCGTCGGGCAGGCTGGAGCTGAGGCCTACCCGCGGACACTCGGGCGTCGTCGGTAACGAGATCGCGAACCAGTTAGCCGGCGTAGCAAGATCGGCGGGCTTCCCCTCCGAGACGGGACAGGCGGCCAGCCACCGACAGGACCGAACGGAGGCAACGAGGGCGCCCCGCGTGGCCAGGTCGCACCAGATACACGGAGCAGCGCGCGCGGGAGCAACACAGCCAAGACCGTGACAGACACAGGGAGCCGCGGGAGAGACCTCTTGCGAGGTGTGCCGTGCGATGCTCGCGGGAAGATGAGCGTCGACATGACGTTTAGCGAGCGGAGTCACCGGCGCGGCAGTCTGCTGCCCTTTCTGCCCCGGTTTTGCGGCAAGCACGCAGCGCCTGCGAGCTAGAGTGTCCCGCGCTTTATACGCTAGCAAGGGGCCACGTGATTCCGACGAATGTGGGGGCGGCCAGTCTGAAGCTGCTGACCCCGTACCTACGCGATCTAGCGACCCACGTCGGCGGTGCGTTCTTGCGAGCGCAGCCGCCGCGCCTCCAGTGATGAAACAGGGGGAGAGGAGTAGCGGCCGCTGTAATAAATCCATCGCTGTCTGCTCGCTCAAAGCCCTGACCATAACTGGGCGGCACTCGTCTGCCGAGTAGCCGGGTCGGGTGATGCATAAACACAGGGGGCGCCCCGGCCCCCTGGGCTGGGCAAATTCGCAAGGCCTCAGGGCCAGGGGCTGGCTGCGTGGTGTTCGGAGGGGAACCCTTCGCACCCTGAAGCGCCAGCAGGTCGGGGCCAGGCGACCGCCCTCCCCAGATCGGGGGGGTTCCCCGCTCTCTCTCTCTCTCTCTCTCTCTCTCTCTCTCTCTCTCTCTCTCTCTCTCTCTCTCTCTCTCTCTCTCTCTCTC